TGAAGACGAAACACAACTTTTGGCTGACCAGTGGTTTCGCTGCCGCCGGTGCTCATACTTTGCTGCCGGCGGGCACGCCATAGCACTGCTTTGGTCAAGTTCGTCGAAGCGTGCGCGAACGAGAGTTTAAGGGGCCCCTTGCGTAGATTCGCGACGCACTGTCCAATCAGTTTTCTGTTGATCCTGTGGGAAGGCCATTCGGAGCATAAGAAAAAAAAACGACTTCCCGAAGCGCTCTGCACCGGAGGCGATGTCGCCTTCTCAGTGGAGCTATCGCCGTTTTTCGGTTGAATTATAATTTTAATAGTAATTATGGCACGCCGAGAAAAAATCGGGTCATTCTTGCGTCCGTCCTTCCGTCGTGGTGAGCGTCTAAGGAGGATACTGAATTCTTGAAGAGTGATGAAACCTTCCTGATACCGTACTACGCGCAATGGAAACCGTTGCCTTTTTTGCATATCGTCGGATTGTGTGATATAACTACACGTCATAGAGCGATCCGCTGATTCAATCAATTCCTTGCGTGAACGCCCTCGTCGAATTTGCATGAACAATAGTGCGAGTCATCGATCGAGTCGGCGTGGCAAGCCGCTCTGGATCCGTTCTCTTATGTGCTACACATGCATAGAGGAAACTTGCGTTGCCCGCACCCCGACCGAGACGTCGACGACGCTCCGGCAAACTCAGGAGTTTGCTGTCCGAAGTGCTCGGCTTAGAAAAGGGAGAGCGATGCTTATCCTGTCACCCATTTGAGGTTGCAACTGTGATCCACCTTGGGAAAATTCAGAAAGATGATAGCTCGGGTTTTGTGACAGTTCGCGTCGGACATCGGGCGCTCGAGCGAGGGTCCGGATGACTCAGCAACGAGTGATTCAAAAATCGACTTCTACAGTCGTCTCCATCGCGCGATCCGGCTCCGTTCATGCGCGGTTAGTGTTTACGCGGATTGTGTTATACAATTCCAGAACGACCCACGCCTCGCATCAGAAAGTTGGGCAGTGCGATGCGGTCAGCGAGCGACCTTGGCAATCTTCTCCGGAGCTTGTCGTAGGATATCTGTCAATTGTATGTCTCGATCGGCCGGACCGAGAAGAATCGTGAGTTCCGGATGCGTATGCGCAGCTTTGGGACTCCTTCCCTTCATCCTGTTCAGCAAGAAGACCGCTCTGCTCGAAGGAGATGGAAGCACGCTCCCAACGGTCTCGGTTTCCTTGCATGTGGAATCGTAACGAGTCCTCGACCCTCAGGAGGACGAAGCCTGTCGCCTCGGCCACGATCGGAAGAGGAATACAACATATTGCCCGATTCCCCGCGCTCGCTAACGAGCAGCCGAGCCGACTGCCCGCTCTTTGGACGCTCAATTCGCGCTCCAACATGAATTTCGGTGCGGTCAGATGTTTTCTCATGTCGTGAAATGCCATCATCATCATCATCGGAAGAACAGTGGCGCTCGAGACAAAACCAATGAGCGCACAGCATGCGTCAGCCTTGAAGGTCTGATGCGTTCTGCCCACGATTCCGGCGCGTTGCCGCCGGCTTCGAAGCGCCACTAATCTACAAAGTGAGGAAGTTCTTCCGGCCATACCGCTTCTTTCTTTCATCACGCTCTTCTGGTGCCCGAACAGATATTCATTCTGACGACTGTTGGGGAACACACATCATTTTAGAATCCGATAGCGTTCGAACTGCACCCGTCTCAGGTGTTTTCTTTTTTTTCATCTCAATAAATTACGATCTATTATTGCATCCTTCATACAGAATCTCATCGGAATCAATTCGATCTATATCAGCCGGAGTATCAGACCTACGGTCCACTCCATCGACGTCGGACACTTGGCATTCGGGATAGACGAGCCCGAAGGCTCATATTTGGGGGGAACGGGAGGAACTGCAGAGCTCTCGGAAGGACCGATGCAGAAGATCAAGATGGGACTACCCCGTCGCTAGGCGTGAACATTCGTGCTCAGGAACGACGGTAGCTCAAGGCCGAGCGTTTTTCAAAACCATTGTCGGAGCATCGTCCGTCCCTGTCTATCTGAATCGGGCTCCATTGACGGATATTACGATGGGTATAGAAACATTGACTTCGGAAGCTGAGAGCAAAACGTCCGTCCATGTCCTGCAGCCACATAACCTGTTGTATGTACATACCCAGGTATGTGAGTGGTTTGTTGATCTCACCATCATTTCCCGATCAACCTGCTGCTGAGGCTCTCTCCTCCGCCCACTCCCACACGAATGGAAAAACCACCATGCGCAGCTAATCCCTCAATATTAGCGGGATTTGTGGGTTTATCTGTTATCACCGTCATTCACTGCTTGTTGGATGTTGAATCGGCTCTCTCACTAGCTCGCCGGGGCGCTCGCTGCTCTCGTCCCCATCTCCCCCCAAAAATCTGTCCCTCGAGCCCATAACCCGGCCGGCTCCATCATCCTCTCTCCTTACTTTGTCAATCTATCCGTATAGAGGCTCTTTGCAACAGTGACTTATCTGTCTTATCGTGAATATAATCGAACAGGCAAGCAGGCGGGCGGGCAGGCAGGCATGCAGTACTTTGTCGGCGGCGTGGCATAAGGACGACATGTGGTCTCAGCTAGGGTTTCGTTTCTTCAAAGCAGGTGGAAGGAGCTAGCTGTCGAGCTCGCTATGCACCCGAAACAGCCTCCGCTCATCGTTAGTTGATTAAAGATTGAAAGATGATATTCTCCTGATAGCAATGTCCTTTACCGACAAGGGATCTCGCGATATTAGGAGCTTATTGTGAACGCGATAGAGCTCCTCCGCCAATTTCTCCGAAAATGCACCCGGTAGAGCGCCAGTGCTTATCGAATGTGAGCGATGGCACTTCCCAGTTTCGATTCTTCCCTGCCGAGAGCCGCGGCAATACCGGGAGTTCGGGATTTCAATAAAGTGCGAGGTGAGCTGCAGTCAGAAGCGACGAGCATCGAATGCGACCGATCACAAAGGCTCGCATTTGAGTGATCGGAAACAATAGCGCACGGCATGATCTCATGTTCTCGTCGCGTTCCTGGAGCAAGTGGGTCAAGAACTAGGACTTCGGTCCATTTGTACCCTTTCACTGAGCCCGGCTCTCTTCCCCTGCCAATGATGAACTCCTAGAGCGTTCATTTCTATCCGGGAGGATTCCCGATAGAAAGCTATCGGCAGCCCGGGCCTGACTCGAGCTTCGAGCCGCGCTCTATTTCCGTACTGGTCGGTGGGACCCTGAATAGTTCGAAAGGCTCGACGCTTCGTCGCCAGTTCAAACGATGCATCGTACGTCCATAAGGTGGAATAGGCGAAGGGAGCGACGCGAAACCGTAGCTGAAAGGAAATTGTCGAAGAATCAATGCGATTCCTCGGTTGGGGTGAGCTGCCGAGCAGATGAAGCGATACTCCAGACCACGATCGGTAATGAGCGTTGAGCAATGTCCGATGTCTTTCGCGTCCAGATACGGTTAAGAAATTTCATGAATCTGACCCGGGACGTCTGGACTGAGTGAGATCAGTCGTCAACAGGGGCTGAACGCGATGTTGTCACGTGCTCCCGTTGGTCGGTGTCAACGACGTGCCGATAGGAGGCTCTTCAGCTCACCGATTGGATTGAGCTACCTGCCAGTGGCGATGCGGACCATATGCGGGGAACACAAAGTCACAGCGGGGACCAACTGTGCAGTTTGCAGTTGCTCAATCTCATCACTGGAGGGCTAACCTTGTTTTCCCAGCGGGAATTTTTCCTTGTGACAAGCAGATCCACTTTATTCTCGTCATCAGCGAGGTCGGTGAGAGACTCACTTAGATAACAAACTTTAAGACATAGTTCGGAATCCTTTTCGCTAGCGATGTTGATGCGTTCGAGAGGGAGGTGGGTACATTTATCTAAGAATAATTTTCCCGTGCAGAGCGAAGAGAATCCCCTGAAAGAAGGAGTATCGGGCTCAACTCTGTCTCCAGTTGCTCATGAGACTTCTAGACGAGAAGGGGAGAGAGAATTATGAAAATCAGGACATCCCCCGATAGCGACCGGTCCTAGGACTCTCTGACACCACACCTGCTTTGAAGGTGTGCGACGTGTTCAGCAGTGACACGTTTGACATCCATACTCTCACTCAGTCAATGAGAGGAGACTCTGTGTAGTTTACCTGAAGAGCAGGAGCGACGAGAATCGAGGAGAGGCCGCATCGGTCTCGCTATACATACAATGTGTGTGTCTGACTGACTGAGAGCGAGCGAGCGAGTGGGTCTGATGGCTGTACCTCGGGGACAAGGGGACCCGATTGAGAGATAAACTTGGACAGAGTGAGGGAGTGACACCAGCTCTGATACGGCTATTGCACCTTAGGGGATGTTCTAATGTTTGAATCCGAGATTATTATGAGCCCCGAATGATCGTAGGTACTCCGCGCGCTCTCATGACTCGGTGAAATGTTTACAGCGTCGCGGATTTTAGGAAGGTACTACTTTTGCCCGCGTTTGGAGTTCGTGATTTGTGATCGAGTCTTTCACTCGAAATCTCGATCCTGTGTCCACTCTGCGTGGTTCCGGTACAGTTTCGGGGACGACGCATTAAGAGCGATTACTCCAACACGCCAGCAAGGAGTGCGTGGGCTGGCGGCGAATCGAAGAGAATCTACAGAATTCACGAAAGATTGGAGTGTCTGTAGCGACTGACCGGAGGAACACGATTCTAATAAGATAACTTTCCATTCATCTTTCTTCCATTTTCGTGTTTCCGAACGAGCGAAACGCTCTGAAAACTTTCGCATGGTAATAACACTATTCGGAGTCGGTGATGCCTTATTTGCATACTTCCCAGACAACGCGTCACTTTGTCTCAAGTTTATCGACGCCACAGTTGGCTAACAACCGTGTATTACGACTGAGGCAGCCGAACGAAATTTAGATGAAACGAAAAATTCAAGGAAGATATTACTTTTTCCAGCACGCAGAGCATCGGCGTCGAATCGTTCAGCGGTTCTCCGCGGTGAACACCTTCACCATGGGGGATTCATACCATAATTGTTCAGGCGGACTCCTGATTCCATTTCTGAACGAAGCAGGATGGGATCCTACGTTGCGGGCTATACTCTATCTGGGAGGATTGCTCTACTGCTTCATAGGTGAGTTCATCCGCCCGATCATGATCTATCCCAATCCACACCGAACGACCCTATGGTGAGTCGATGCCGAAGTCTAGAGCGGGAGCCAGAAGTTCAGTGGATAGAAAAAAATCTTATATCTGATCCCAGTGGACCGCATGGCGATGCTCCCATTTCGCAGAGGAGCCACCGATCATCGCTGTCGTAACTACGGGCCGTTTCCACGACGGTGGAAAGCCACATGATTCGGTTCTGTTTTTTTTCTACGATGGAAAATTCCAATAATCCCTCTCTGTGCGTATACCGATCGAGGCTTCCCCGCGTTTACTCAAATTCCGCTCATCGAGGACCAGTTAAGGAGCTGGTGGTTCCGACAGCGAGTGTCGAGTAGCGTCTGGACCGCACGACCGCCCGCAACAAAACTTGGCGTGTTCGAAGCCGCGGGGAAACTCACCAGTCTGCCTAGAAGAAAGCCGGTCGCATCGCCACGCATCGAGCATTGAGCGCCCAGGGGGAGGGTATGGGTCGACGATGGCGAACGACAAGCCACACCTCGAAGAGCCTCAGTGCGCTGGGGCAATGTGTCATTACTTTCAACCCCTCGCCATCAAACTTCACTCAATATGCTTTTAACGTCGTCTCCCATCTTCCTCGCTCCCGTGGGGGGGACGTCCGCCACCCGGGCGAAGTCCCCAGCTCCTTCTCGGGCACCTTCTTCAATGTAGCTCAGAAAGTGTACTCGTATCTTTCGTAGATGAGCCAAAATAGCTCTCTCCGGGCTCGAACGTTTCGAGGAGTTCGGTTTCGGCCCGCTCAGCAAACGATCCTACGAAAATCGCTCGCTCATGAACAATGTAACGACGACGCTGACGAGCTCGAAAGTATCGTCACCGAATCTCCGGGCTATCGTCTGGTCGTCAGAGTCTCCAACGGAAGGTCGTAGTCGTTCGGGTTGTCTCCGTTGGCTCGTGCGCGCGTCCTTTTTTGTGATCTCGAATGTCATCAGACAATACCCACGCCAGTTGGAAATAAAACAAGCGCTCCCGACAGAGCTCGAATGACATAAGAATTATCTGTTGAGTGAGTAAATAAGACTCAAGATATTCCCAAGGATATCATCACAAATCCATTGCACGCGCCGTGCAAACCCGGAGAGCTCTCGATGCTCTCCGGCGACACGGAGGGGTCGCGGTATCATCCCTCGCACGTGATCACAACAACATACTCTTCGTCCCTGTGTTGCTGAATTTCGCAGTTCAACGCTGCGATCCACTCAATACAGCAGAGCTGATTCTAATCGATCGTAGAAATTATTCCGTTCCGGTTCCTCCGACTCGGGAGCATGATTCAATCGCTCCGGATTTTGTCTTGCAGGTGTTGCAATAATCGCAGACGTTTTCATGTGCTCAATCGAGAAGATCACATCGAAGACCCGGAAAATCACACTATCAGCCCAGGTAACTCTCGGTCCGGATCGATACACTTCGCGAAAAAAATCGAGCATGACGGCGCGCGGCTTCATACAGCACGTTGCAGACCTCGAACCGATGATACGAAACCCAATTCACGGACTAACCCCAGCTTGTGTTGGAACATTCTAGCAAAGAATCGTTAAAGTTTATCAGGAAGGCAGTCGACCGGACTCGGATTCCGATATCGGTCTGGTAACTAACCCTCATTACGATTTCTGTGCTTTTCTGATTGCCCTTCGCTTTCCTAGTGTCTCGCTTACAGGAGCGATTGCCTGAAACTCGCTATTATGAATTCGTGGACGCAGGTCCCCCATGGACACGATCGACGCATTCTCAATGCTCTGTGATCGACGATCATGGCCCTATCTTGAAATTTTCAATGTCTGCCTGATTGCAGGTCGGAGAAGAGCCGGAAGTTATCGAGGTTAAGGTTTGGAATGAGACCGTTGCAAACCTGACTCTGATGGCCTTGGGCTCATCGGCTCCTGAGATTCTCTTATCGATCATCGAGATCGCCGGCAATGACTTCAAAGCTGGCGAACTAGGTCCCGGAACTATCGTTGGTGAGCACTCGTCCCGTAGAATAATTGGGCATCACTCAGTCAGTCAGAAGGTGGTCCGAGGAATAGCTATCGATGACGAGCATCGGTCCTCGCTGCGTCCGAATCGCTCGCGGACTCGAGAAGATCGCATTCGACCACGGGGCCGGATATCGATCGTCCCGAATGAAAATCCTTTTGCCCAGTGTTATGGGGAGGTCAATTTCTCACCTCGATATTCGATGAACGTTCCAGGATCGGCAGCGTTCAATCTGCTCGTTATCACGGCCGTGTGCATCATCTCGGTGCCAGCAGGAGAAATTCGCACTATACGTATGATCAAGGTACTCTAAGAAGCCTTTGCATCTAAGAGCGAAAACCTCCGATAGTCATCGTGCGCGTCGCAATTTCCCTAATAGAATGCTTTTAGTAAAGATTTGAATGTCCCCCAGGTGTTCTGCATAACGGCTACGTTTTCGGTCTTTGCTTACGTGTGGCTATTAGTCATCCTGGTTCTGATATCTAAAGACGTAGTGGAAGTTTGGGAAGGACTTCTCACTCTCCTGTTCTTTTTCATCCTTGTACTTCTCGCCTACTTGGCTGATAAAGGTGCTCTAGGCAGCAGCTTCCTTGTTCGAAATAAGTAGATGCATACCAGATGGTATACTTCTAGCGGAAATTCGAATTCTCACTATCGACGACCGTCTCTAGGAATTCTCTTCCCCGGAAGAAAAGAGGAAAGCACGGATCCCAAGCAGATCGAACTCCAAAGCTCTGACGATCCCGAGAAAGTCAAAGTGAATATCCCGAATGGGACTGACTCGCACAAGAAAAAATTCTTCAGCAATGGCAGAATCGATCGCCCCGGACTACTCGACTTCATCAAGGATATCCGCAAGGTGAGTATCTTGGGTCGATTCTCAACGACGGAGTCGCTGAAAATTCGTCATTATGATTATGATCATTCCATACTCACTGAGCTTTCGTTAACGCGTCCAATTGTGCTCAGCATCCTGGTCTGACGGACGAGGATTGTGCGACTTTGGCTGCTGCTCGATTGGCCGATGAGCAGGCTCACAGTCGAGGCTGGTACCGCGTGAGCGCCATCAGAGACTTCACCGGCGGAAAGCGGACGAAACCCTCGATTTCTGCTACTTTACAACATAAGTTGGACCAAGAAGTAGGTGTTTGAATTTATTTTAGGCTTACACGGGTATCATGGTTAGACCGGTGTCTCGATAGGCGAAGTCGTTGCAACTCCACATGTCCGAATGAGGTCGACGCGTTTCTCCCCGTAGGTGCGGGAACTCATGGCTGTTGCCGACGTGCTGGACAAACGTGATGACAAGCCAGAGGCCGATCGTAACCGAGTGAGCACTCCCGAAGTACAGGACCTCGACAAACAGAAGGGCACGCTGCTGACTCCTCTCCCATATTTCATCGACAAGGAGATGTCGTACGTCGAGTTCAACGCCAGCCAAGTCGCAGTATTGGAAAAATCGAAGAAAGCCACCGTCCTGCTCCGGAGAAGAGGCAATACCGAATCCGAGATCAGCGTGCGCGTCGAGACCATCGATGGTGAGTGATGGATCCAACCATGCGGCAGAAGAAGCAGAAGAGAGCCGAAGCGAGAACGAGACCATATACACCATTAACTCGCAACGCAACATCCGAATACGAGCATATCCGATTCTTCTCGATGGCGTCGACAAGCCGCTGCCAAGAACGGAAGGAGCATTCTGTTGAGACCGACGGCGAGCGACAACGAGTGAGGGCTCCATCGGGGGGTCACTCGCTCGTCTGGGTTTCCGATGCTAGCGGAAATCGGAGACTGACCCCTTTCGATGTCAAGGGTTCAGACCGGAAGATCGTTAGGGATGAAGAATCGTCATTGTACGATGCGAACGAGACGCAGTTTGGTCGAGGTTCGAACATACCACCGCTTGGTAGGAGGACGCCGGACCGCTCGTTCGATATTTTCTGCCGTAGCCCTCTTGAGTGGAGTCGATGTCTATCCGGAGAGCATGCGGTCTTTCCGGCATTGTTTGTTCATGTGTTCGAAGGCTCGACCACCTCGGATAACGGTCGTGATCTCGGATAGAACTTTGTCTTCGGTGACCTCGAGACATCGAATCCGATTTCAAGTACTCGATGCAAACGAATGCCCACACGCGTTTCCGGCGATGTTCGTGCAAGGAGGATCGAGTACAAAGGGTTAGGATGATGCAGGCCGGGGTGGTCAGCCTTGAAAAGGAACCAACGAGCGGTTATTGATGAGAACGGGACTTGACGGGGTGGAACCGACGAGGAAATGAAAGGGAAAGCCACGCGATGAGGAGGATGTCGGGCTGGGACATCTTAATCAGCGCGGTGTTGACTTTGCCGAGCTGCCTACTACCCTCGGATGGATGGCCGGACGGGATTCGATCCAATCCGTTGGCGAAACCGAGTGTTTGAAATTCTTGTTCGTTGTTTGACAGGAACCGCGACTGCCCACGAGGATTATAAGCCGCTCCGGCAACTCGTCAAATTCGCTCCAGGGGAATTGATTAAAGCAGTCACGGTGGAAATCGTTGACGATCAGCAATGGGAACCCGATGAGAGCTTCTTCCTTCGGATGTCTGTGCCGTTATCGCAGAAAATGCTCCGACTCGGTAGGAAAACCGTTATGGAGATCGTAATCATCAACGATGACGGTGAGTTCACGTACGGCATCCTTATAAAATGCATCGCAAGTACCCTCCTTGAGGGGGAATCATGCGAATCGATCATGGATCGATTTCCGGTATAATTATTTTAATCAATACTTCCGCTTCAGAACCGGGACAATTCACCTTCTTACGTCGTGGTGTTTTGGTCAAGGAAAGCGTGGGATTGGCCTCCTTGACTGTGATCCGTCAGAAAGGTTGCGATGGCGTTGCCCATGTCCACTGGAGAACGAAGAACCAAACGGCAGTTCATGGGAAGGATTTCGTTGGAGGTGAGCTCATTTAGGTCTGTTTCAGTGTATATACAGTCCCGGCGAAACTGATTGGGTACAGTAAATAGCGAAGGTAACGCGAGTGAGGATTCGACTGACCGAATACAGTGGGGCACGAGCTATGATTGACACCTTTGGAAATTTCTTCTCCTCCGGCCTAAAGTTCCTCTTTGTCTTTCTCTCTCTCACTAATTTCTTAAGCTGTGAACCATTCGCCGAGACAGAGGTGTAAGTACTTTGGAAATCTTAGCTTGCGCCAAAAATCCCATGGATATCATCATGGCGGAGAGACATTTCTATCGCTAACTAAAAAAAATGCAAGATGACCTGACAATCGCTTGGGACGGACTCGAAAAATTCATCCGCTCAGAGAGGCATAACTTGTCTCGGAACCATGACGCTTCAAGAATGCTTCCGAAATCACCACCATATATGGACTGAGCTTGTTAGCGGTCACAGGAACGCTCATTTCCTAATTCTCACTATAATTCTGTTTCCAGGCGATGGGAAACTCATATTCGAGGACGGTGAATGTGAGAAAGCGATCGAAATCAAGATTGTCGACGATTTCGAGGCCGAGAAGGACGAACATTTCGAAGTGGAACTCTTCGAACCCTCTCCGGGCTCGAGTCTGGGCTCTCACACGAAATGCACGGTCACCATAGCCAACGACGATGATTTCAACTCGATCATGAATCGTATAATGATGATGGCCAATGTTAACGTCGACAAATTCCGACTGCACAACGAAACCTGGTGCGAACAATTCAAGGAGAATATGAACGTCAACGGGGGCGACCTGGATAACGCCACCGGATCCGACTACGTCATGCACGGATTGACTTTCTTCTGGAAAGTTCTGTTCTCCTTCGTTCCCCCGCCCGCCTACGCCGGGGGTTGGATCACGTTCGTGGTTTCTCTGGCTCTCATCGGTTTACTCACAGCTATAGTTGGTGAGTGGAGCCGATTTGCTAATTTGATATTGTCCTCGGTCGAAGCTATCGGATTCGCCCTCTTCCGAAACTGGAATTCCTGAGGCTTCGACTCTTACAGGTGATCTCGCGGGCATATTTGGTTGCCTCGTCGGACTTGAGAACACAGTGACCGCTATCACCTTCGTCGCTCTCGGAACGTCTCTGCCCGATTTATTCGCCTCGAGAACTGCAGCTCGACAGGAGAAATATGCCGACAACGCCATCGGGAACGTCACCGGCTCAAACTCGGTCAATGTGTTCCTGGGTCTCGGACTCCCTTGGTTCATCGCTGCGCTTTACTGGTGGTCGAAGGGCGAAGTATTCCGGGTAAGTTCTGTTGGCAGTTCCACTGCTCCGTTCGAGGAATATGTAGAACTCGGAGCACCGAGCGGGAGAACGGGAGTCTTATCCCAAGCTGTTTTACAGGTCGAGTCTGGCACCCTGACATTCAGCGTCGGGATTTACTGCGCGGTAGCAGTTTGCTGCATATCGCTGATCTTCGCGAGACGTTTCCTGCAACCTCTGGGCAAGGCCGAATTGGGTGGACCCCGACCGATGGCTCTCGCTTCAGCAGGCTTCCTTCTGTTCCTGTGGCTGGTCTACATTGTTCTGTCGGCTCTGAAGGCATACAAGCACCTCTGAATTCCTGAACGACCTTTACATCGTCGGATTTCGAGCGAAGGAGTGGTGTTGAGTCTTGGCGGTCTCCTTAAAACGATCAGCTCAACCAGATCATGGCCGACGTGATGAGGTATCGGTCGGCTCTCGTGTTCACATTTGACGTACATATGACGAAGAGTGTATCGAACAAGACAGCGGGGTAGCGGAATGACTGGCATGGACCATATGTAATCCCGAGAAAGTGTGAGAGAGAACTTGCGATCAGTGTGTTTGAGAGTTGGTCTGACTGAGAAGACAATATTTATGGCTGCGAGGTTCGCTCGAAACGTTCGTAGATTGTGAAAAAAATTACATGATATCCCGCGTGTTCATATTCGATGACCTAGCGAAGAGCCTCAGAGAAGAAGAGCGGCGACCTCATTGTTCGTGTATTTTTTTCTAATCAACGGGTATGCGCTACGTATGGAATATCGTTCCTCATTGTATACGAATGGGGCTACAATAAAATATCGCTGCTTTTGAATCTCCATCGGCACGGTATTCCCTCGCGCTTCGACCTCAAGAAACGTGATATAAGTATTGCAAGTTCGAGTGAGACTTCTCAACCCCGACAAAGCTCTTCCTCTGAACCTTCGTTCTTCCTGAGGGGCGGTGTGCAGTTGCGCAGATGAGACGCTGAGATATAAGACAAAACGTATGCTTTATTCGATTATCGACGCTTCCGTGATTGGAGGACCGGACACCGAAATATAGACACGTGATGTTCTAAGCTAAGCTCCAACATCGATTACTTAGTCTTACAGAGTTTTCCGCTCTAGGAATAATCTGCATAAGAACGGCATGTGCTCAAGAGAAAGCTCCCCGACTCCGTGAATCCGGAGCTCAGGCAATCTGAACGATCCCATCCAAAAGCTATCAAGATAGCCGGAATCGAAAAACAAATAATCTTGATACTGCCATCGGAATAGGTTGAAACTCCCACAGACGACAACGCGTGCCGAGCTTTATTTACAGGCCTGCGTCCGGATTCAATGAAACTAGGGTTGTTAACACGTGACCCCCGACCTCCATTTATTTTTCTTAACCGTGTTTTCAGATCAGAATTCGTTGAGTTTTCCAATCGGGGCAGATGCGGATCGTGCACGATACAATTGATGCAGAAAGAAGGAGCGAATTAGAATGGAGTTTGGTTGATATTTTCTTTTTATGGGTCCTCCGTGAACCCTGAGTCGCTCCAATCGAACTACAGTTCAGGCGATTTTATCGTACACGTCACCGCGGAAGAGAACCGGAGGTCCTTCATTCGTTGATGATTCAAACCACATTTTGATGCCCAAGAGACACCGGGTAGGTTTGAACAAAGTTCCCTATTCCGAATCAAAGCGTATGGAATTTACTCCCATATCGATTAAGCCTCCACTGTAGGTTCCTCTCTTCTTCTTCGTCTTCTCATGCCTGAAACCACGGAAAGGACTTCAGGAAAAGAAGAAGTAATGCTGACTCCTCAGAGAACCGTTAGCGAGATATATCCAAGAGTGGAAGAACATCATCGGGCACCAACCTGAAATCCCTCCCTTTCACCTGCTTCAGGACCTGATGGGCCTTCGCGCCGAAGTTGGAGCCCTGAGCGTTCCTCTTCGCGTCGTAAGAATTGTCAGCGAGACGAGGATCTACTTTGACCTCTTCTGCACGGACGCGGCGATACGGAGAATTTTTCGGACGATTATCTGCGACGGTGGAAAAAATCAGTTCGGCGCTCCGACAAGACGGGATCGGTAAAATATCCGCAGGACACCGGAACAGAACTCTAGATGGGAGAAAATGACCGGAGGGAACTGGCTCTTTGCCAGGGAATGCGCTTACCCGGCTCGTCAGTGTTGAAAATGTTTGGAGGTCGTACACCGGCTTTCTGCTTGTGTGGTGGGGCGTCTACCTCACTCTCGTTCGAGCCACCTTCGACTTCGCCCTGAAGAGATCGCTCGTCAGTGCGTTTCGATCCGCGGTAGGAAGATATGAAGTCCTCAACTCCCAGATAGGATCCCTTCTTGAGGGAGAGACTTACATTGCACTTACCGCTTTCCTCTTGAGACCGCCGTTCGCGGTTTTCGGAGGAGCCTCGTCTTCCTCGCTGTCCTCATCGCTGTCGCTCTCTCGAGGTCTCTTTATTGCGCTCCCACTCGTAATCGCCGGAGTGGTTTTCTGACGAATTAGAAAAGCTTGTTTTTCTCCCCATCGCTACTCTTGCATACGAGGCCGAGAAGAAGGGAGAATATATCTTGTGGCACGCGCTCGCTTCCTCACCTTGGCGGCAGGTGGTCCATCGTCGCTCTCGGAATAGTCAGTACTCGCATCTGCTTTTTTCTTCACAACTGGGGATTTCCCGTTAGCTAGGGGTTTCTTTACCACTGTCTCCTCTTCCGAGGAATCGTCCTCCGAAGATGAATCTCGCTTCGCGGGAGTCTTCACGGGCGTCTTGATCGGAGTCTTCACCGGAGTTTTCTGTGAAATATTCGCAGACGTTAGACTCTTCAGTGGCCACACAGCTCGACCGTGGTCGGGGCTTCTCTCGAGGAAATCATCGCACTACAGAAAACTCTTACCGCTTGAGCTTGGTCCTCATCCGAAGAGTCATCCGAGTCGGACTCGGCCTTCTTCGCAGGAACTCTGACCGGGCCTTTCGCGACCACTTTCGGAGCTTCATCCGCCGACGAGTCATCGGAGCTACTGCTGTCCTTCTTCGCCGCGGCTCTGGCAGGCGTTTTCTGAGATGTTGGTTTGACCACTGGAGTTTTGGCGGCGACTCCTTCAGAAGACGAGTCGTCTGACGATGTTTCTTTCTTTGCCGGAGGGGTAGCTTTCGCAGGAGTTTTCCGAACGGGAGCCGTTTCCTCTTCCTCGGAAGATTCCCCGGAGCTCGAGTCCTCCTTACTCGCTGGCGTCTTAAGAGGAGTGGGTTTTGCCGGCGTTTTCTTGGGAGCCTCCTCGTCCTCGGAAGAATCATCAGAGCTCGAGTCCTGCTTTTTCGCAGGAGTTTTCAGAGGAGTGGGTTTCGCCGGTGTTTTCTTGGGAACCTCCTCGTCCTCGGAAGAATCATCGGAGCTCGAGTACTGCTTCTTCGCAGGAGTCTTCACGGGAGTGGCTTTGGCTGGTGTTTTCTTGGGGAGGACCTCTTCCTCTGAAGAATCATCAGAGCTGGAGTCCTTATTTTTCGCCGGAGTTTTTAAGGGAGTGGCTTTGGCCGGAGTTTTCAAGGGAGTGGCTTTGGCCGGTGTTTTTTAGGAGCCTCCTCCTCCTCGGAAGAATCATCAGAGCTCGAATCCTCCTTCTTCGCAGGAGTCTTCACGGGAGCGGCTTTGGCCGGTGTTTTCTTGGGGAGGTCCTCTTCCTCGGAAGAATCATCAGAGCTGGAATCCTTCTTTTTCGCTGGAGTTTTTAAGGGTGTGGCTTTGGCCGGTGTTTTTTGGGAGTCTCCTCCTCCTCGGAAGAATCCTCAGAGCTTGACTCCTCTTTTTCGCTGGAGTTTTCAGAGGCGTTGGTTTAGCCGGTGTTTTCTTGGGAGCTTCCTCCTCTTCGTCGGAAGAATCCTCAGAGCTCGACTCCTTCTTCTTCGCTGGAGTCTTGAGAGGAGTAGGCTTAGCCGGAGCTTTCTCGGAGGCCTTCTCTTCCTCGTTCGAGGACGAATCTTCGGAACTGGAATCCTCCTTGGCTGGTGTTTTTATAGGAGTGGCTTTGACGGGTAACTTATTTGCAGCACCCATCCCTTCGTCGTCCGAATCGTCCGAATCAGATTCATCCTTCTTTGCCGGCGTCTTCAAGGGAGCCGCTTTCGAGCTCTGTTTCTTAGGAGCCTCCTCCTCCTCCTCCGACGAAGATGTATCTTCGGAGCTGGATTCCCTCTTCTTGATGGGCGTTTTTACCGGGGCCGGTTTCGCGGGTGTCTTTTTGGGGGCCTCATGCTCATCTGACGAAGAATCCTCCGAGCTGGAGTCCTTCTTTTTCGCCGGAGTTTTCACTGGAATCGTTTTCTTGGGAGCTCCCTCTTCATCCGAAGAGGATTCCTCACTGCTGCTGGCTTTCTTCGCGACCTTCTTCGCGGGGGTGACTTTCGATGCAACCGTGGTCTTCGGAGCGGGTTCTTCGTCATCGGAAGACTCCTCAGAGCTGCTGTCCTTCTTCGTGGGTGCTTTAGAAACTGTTTTCTTCACGGGAGCAGATTTCGAAGGTGCAGTCTCCTCATCGGAAGAAGATTCTGAGCTGCTATCTTTCTTCGTGGGTTTCGCTACGGGTCCGGTCTTATTCGCCGGCTTCTTCGGAGCTTCTTCATCTTCCGATGAGCTCTCAGAGCTGGAGTCTTTCTTCACTGCCTGTTTTGCAGTTGTGGGCTTCGCAGCAACTTTCGTCACGGCACTCTCTATCTCATCGGAGGAGTCTCCCGAACTACTGCTATCTTTTTTAGCGCTCGCTTTCTTGGGCGGGGTCGCCTTAGCGGGGACTTTCTTGGGCGGTTGGCTCGCTTCCTCATCGGAAGAATCATCGGACTCACTGCTGTCGGCCTTCGCAGCAGGTTTAGCCGATGTCACCTTGCCGACAGCTTTCTTCGCAGGGACGTCTTCATCGCTCGAGGTGTCGTCTAAGCTGCTGTCGGCCTTCTTCGACGGCAATTTAGCCGGGGTTTTCACGGGGGTTTTCACGGGGGTCTTCACAGGGGCTTTCTTCGTTTGAGGGCGTTCATCCTCCGAAGAATCGTCCGAGTCACTCATATCGGCCTCTTTCGCCAGCGTCTTCAAGGGTGTGAGCTTAGCAGAGCTCTGCTCTTCCTCTGAGGACGATCCACTGCTGTCCGCCTTTGCTTTGGCTGGCGTTGCTTTGACGGGCGCTTTCTTGGCCGCCGTGGCTGCTTCTCCGTCTGAAGATGAATCATCGGAAGTCTCATCGGCTTTCGCGGGTTTTTTGGCGACCTGTTTGCCTGGGGTCGCCTTCCCTTTCGGGGGAGCCGCATCTTCGGACGACGACTCTTCAGAGGAGTCTGAGTCCTTCTTGGCTGGCTTCTTCGCTGCCGTGGCAACAGGTGCCTTGGCCGGCCGTTCGTCGTCGTCCGAAGACTCTTCCGAGCTGGAATCCTTATTCTTGGCCGGAGCCTTTACAGAGACAGGTTTAGCCGGTTTGCCCTTGGGGGCTTCATCATTGGATGAGGAATCCTCCGAGCTAGATTCCTTCTTTTTCGCTGGTGCCTTGGCCGCGACCGTTTTAGCGGGGGTCTTCTTCGGAGGCTCATCGTCGTCCGATGATATGTCATCAGAATCCGAGGATTTCTTCTGGGGTGGTCCGGGTTTTTTCACCGGTGGTTGAGCCTGCGAAGATATCGAGAGGGAATCAGAATACCGCTGCTATTCTTCGTGCTCGCATTTTGGGATTGGCACGACATGACATTCCATCTGCAAACGTCTGACAACGACGCAAACATGGCCGGAGGCCGGTGGGGGTTCCGGGGAATCGACCACACGTGCCCACCCCTGGTCAGCCAACAGCTACGGAGCTACCTCTGACGGGGATGACACAACGGTGTTAATGTGGCGGCAAAGCGAGCGTGACTTCGCGCACATGGCAGGATACAACTCACCGCTTTCTTCGGAGCTTCTTCCTCGGAATCACTGTCGGAGTCGCTTGAAGCTGCCTGCCGGGCTTTTTTCGCAGCGTGATTCAAGGGTTCACCTTTCCGCTTCCCCACAAGTTTCTCGAAAAGCGCGGAATTGCACGCGCTCGCAGCTTTCTTTCTGTACGTGGCGGCCGTTTTCGGATCGAGGACGCTCTTCAGGTGCTCGGCAACGAGATCATGGAACTGCTCAGCGTCCATCGCGAGTTAGATTTTAAAGTATGGTAACTATAGGAGAACAGGGTAGAGCAGTTCCGCGAGGCTCTTTCTTTCTCCTCATAGGAAAGCGTGTGGATAGTCGTCAGCTGCACACAACACGTGCAGATCCGTGGTCCGAAATAGTCTCACGAAGGGGAGAGCGAAGGTACTTCATCGGAGTTCCCGTGCGCTTCGAGGAGGGATGCAGATGGTGATCTCAGACGCGAGGCCAAAAGCTCGTTCGCAGACCTCGATGCTGGGGATTCCGAGGTGAAATTCACGTCGCATGAGAAGCGCTTCACGTGGATCATGAAATCATAAATATTCTTTCGAATCACGAACGTGTCTCCCGCTTAGTGGTACGTTTGCTCCAGCGCCGATCCCATACCAAATCTACGGATACGATATCCCGAGGCCCCCTCCGTACGGGAGTGGAAGCAAACCCATAATTAAGCAAAGCTTATCTCAGGAGAGTTTGGCAGTTTAGCTCACATGGATTCCGTGATACACGAAATACGCGAAATACCGGGATTCCGCTGAAATGGGGAAGGGTCAGGAGAGAGTGAATTCATCCAAACGTTGTGCTGTTTGTTTTCGTTTATGACTCCCTCCGAGCCGCCATTTTCGAATTCACCACTTTTCGGCTTTTGAGAGCGTCAATAATATATTTCCTCATTCGGAATTGATCGTGTGGCTCCGTGGATCGCGCGACTGATTCTTCCGCACGCCCAGGAATGGATCCCAGTGAGTGAGATCGAGTATTCGGCTGAAGATGCAATCGAGGAGGATCTTCCCCATCCGAAACCAAAGAAGTTTTGAAATTCCGCCTTTTCCCCGTCTAACGTGAAACGTTTACCTCCGTGAGGGAAAAAGGCCCCTGGGAGTGAAAACATGACTTAGGAATCCTTGAGAACGCTCAGCCAGATTGGCGGTGGACATTACTTCGGTCTCCCAGAATGGGGGGAGAAATCGAAATGGAGACCCCCTGTGACAAGAGAAACTCGAGGGGGAAAGCGGGATCCGGCTCAGATTCAGCTCTATCGCGACGGAGCTTTGGACGGACCCCGGTTCTCCGGAGCTACAGAGCCACAATTTCGACAGTCTGTGGTTTGATGTTGATGCGAGGAATCGGGGAGCGATGAGGCACGAATGCTTCATTTCCTCCGAGCGGCGGAATCGGAGAGATTTTTCCAACGGAGCCGTATTTTCCAGAGCTGGTTCGAATCCCTCAGCTGACTGCTGCCAGATGCAAGTTCGATGGATTACTGCAGCAGATCGCCGAGCGTATGGACGAGTACGTAATGTGGGATGCAAAAATTAGGGGTAGAGAATTCGAGCGTCTAGAGAAGTTCAAAAGTTTCCCCTAAGGTCTCCTAAAGTTTCCATGTCATTTGCAGTGTGAGCGGCGATGAGAAGGCTCCGGAAGACGTGTAAGATCAGGAACATCATTCGAGGAAATGTTGCATGGAAGATTGCGCGGAGAGAATTCTATTTCCATTGAGATCTCATTGTTGCAGGAAACCAGCAGACCCTAAGCAGCACACAGGAGCATTCCAGAAACCAGTGAAGAAAAAACTCGAAACAACTTCCGGTACCGTGATCACAAAGGTGAGTGTTGTCTTCATCTCTATCGTTCGAGGACATCGCTCCCAGAGTTTCCCCTTTCATCCAGCAACATATTCCAGATCCAAGATTGTTCCCTGGACATGGCCCTCTTCAATGATTCGAGCGTACTCTATCCCATGGTTCGGGCCTGGTGTAGGAACGATAACAGTCGTGAATGTGTGAGTCTCCAAAGCATAATGAGGTTGAAGTCTTGACTTCCACTAGGAATTTCCTCGCGTACATCGGGAATGGTGGAAACCTCATCCTCGGTGTTCTATCTCGCAGGACGATTCGTCGAGCTCAGACGAAGAGGAACAGGACGACCATCGTATCGTGACGATGATGCCCCCTCCGCATCCCCGGGATGAAGATGTGCCCAGAATTCCGAGTGGTCTCCCCCCGCACGGATGTGATGTCATTCCAATCGCAGCGGTTAGTCAATCTGTGTCTGTGTATCGGAAGCGGAGGCGTAGCTTGGGCTTGGACCACAAACACGCCAATGGCTCTCCCTTTCCAGGAAGGAGACGACCTGCCAGATCCCGGATATTTGCTTCAAGAGCATCTGCTTCGGTGGAAAATCGTGCGCCAACAGTGGCGAGAAGCTTCCGCGCTCAATGATGCGAGGTGCGTTTCCCGCAGAGAGTCGGATGAAATAATCGGGACTCTACGTGAGCGGATCGGATGTAGACAGACTTCGCTGTGATAAGAATCGATTTCGGAATTCGTTCACAGGTATTTCGAGAGTTGCGAAATCCTCGCAAAGTGCCAAGCGATCGAAGAAGCCTCCCCTGAACCCCAGCATGAATGGGACGGTATCGAGCCGCTTCCATGAAGGAGCGTATCCATCCGGGAGAGATGAATCTCCCATCTCTTCATCACCATTGTATCATTGAGCCTCTATCAATCCCATGCATTGAGCTCTCATCGAGCGAAGAAGAACGTCTAAGGATTTTCCGAAAAATAAAGTTTAAAAGGAATCGACAAGTCGAACTCCAGAGCCTTCCTCTAGGAGCGAAGTGATTCTTCTGACGACTTCCGGTTTACTCTCAACCGAACTCGCATAAATGACGAAATACGAATGAACTTTCCACTCAAGAGCGAGTACTCGAGTGGAGTTTTCTGCCGGCAACATTGAACACTTTTTTATCGTAGAACTTCGGTTGAACAAGACTTTATACAAGAAGTAGATGATCCATCGACCGCATCGATCCAGAGTGCCAGAATCATGGCGCAGGTTCGTGGAACCGAAAATTCCCTCTCAAAACTTTCCAAGACGTTCCCTCGGAAAGCACAACAAAATTCTCAGTGAAGCCGGCACTCTGAAGCCCCTTCAATCTGCGGAAAAAAATGGATTCGGAATCGATTTCGGATGTCGAGATTCGCGATTTGGGAGCATTATTTTGCGCCGATCGACGATCAGATGTCAATGATGTTAATTTGGTCTTGCGTTGAGAGTTCTCCGGCCAATCCTCTCGTTCCTCACCTAATATTCCCCGTACACGTGATCAAGGCAGTGGGTTTCCCCTCTTGGAATTGTGCTGTGATCGGCTGAGCATCGACACTGACCAGCGTGGTTTCGGAATGTGGCAACGATGTGTAGAATTTATGGATCGCTTCTTTACCGCTGTACTGGTTTCCGTTCCAGAGCAGTTGCTGGAAGAGACAGTGTCCATGAAATGCATGATAGAAGACGTCCACTCAGGGCGCGGATATTAATCATGAAACGAGTCGGAAATCTGCGAGCTCAAAGAAGGAGTTCTGATCATTCCGGATTAATTCCACGATTTTTCATGATGCTCCAGAAGTACGGAAGCGATACCCTCGATACGGGTGCTGGGTTCTGGTCATAATGAAGAAGTGTACTCACGGCATCGTCCTGATAAATATTTCCGAGCATGTGTCGCTTACTATCCAATGTTTTGTAGAATATCTTTGCGAACTCTAAGCCCGCTTTCGAAGCCGTGGCCACGGGATCCTTCTGCGACATAGCGAATTTGTGGATGCACAGGACTGACTAGGCTCGATTCGAGATTCGATACCCGCGTGTGCTCTTGTGATTAGAGAACTTCCTATCGAGCCGCCGCTGTGTATACAAAACAGAGAGAAAGGGAACAAGGGAAGGAGAGTGAAGTTCGCCCCGCGGGACAGAGCACCACCGTTCCCGCTTAACTCTGAGGCACAGCTGATCGAGTCGAGTTTCGCCATCATCTAGGGGACAAGCCTGTGATGAGATCCGGTTGTTGTTCTCCTATGGAGTTGGATTCAGACCCACGCGTCCGATATCTATGAGAATTAGAGAAAAGTTCCGAGGTCCGGAACTTCCGAGCTTTTAGACGGCTTCCACTGTTTTGAAGAGGCACGGCGCAATCGTCGACACATTAGTCAGAGCGCTGAAAAGGGATGCTGATAGACTCTTATGTCTTGCACTTCCGTGGCGACATCGCTCATTCGAGTCGCTCTCTAGGTGTCTCGGGTAACGGAGCTCTATCGGAGAGCGGTGCGACATCTAAGCCACGTCACACGAAGAGTTCCTGTCTAAGGATTGCGAGAGCTCCGTGGAGCGTGTAGAACTGTGTTGACTCGACCCGGTATGGAGAACGTGGTTCCACTCGCCTTGAATGGCTTGATGTCAGCCGTCACCTATTTCTGCACATTACAAGCCATCAAGAAATTTGCTCCGAAGTTCCTCCAACGGGGGCGTTTCGGGATCGATCTGTGCAAAAGTTCTGGCGACAGAATTCCCGAGTCGTTGGGCGTTGTGACCGGCACCTGCTTCCTTGTCCAGGTGAGTGACATTCGGCGAAAACAGCGGCATAGGTTCCAGGGTATTCTCCCGAGTCATTGCCGACGAGCCAGACCCGAAGACTGATCGTTCTTTTCGCTGCTCTAGGTGTTTATTTTCATACCGGTGCTCTTCCTCCTCACGTCAGCACACGGCGTTTTTCGGCATGATCTTCTCGTGGAGATCCTGGCTGCTTTGTTGTCCATTTGCAGCATGATGTTCCTCGGATTTGCTGACGATGTGCTCGATCTCAAATGGAGGTTAGTTCAGATAAAGTGCATTGAGCTCATAGGATACTGTAGCACGCGCATCGAGCTCGAGTTTGAGTATTCTCGTTCCTTTTCTATTTCCAGGGACAAGCTCTCGCTGCCAACGATAGCGAGTCTCCCTCTTCTCGGGGTTTACTACGTCAATTTCAACGGAACCACTGTGCTCGTACCGAAACCTCTCCGTTTCTTGTTAGGAGGTAGCGTTTTGAAGTTAAATTCAAGTCTTGTCATACGACGTTCACTTTAGTTCATTTAGAGATATACGGCGATTGATTTCGATATGCACGCGGAGACTCGACCCACGACTCGAATATCGACGGTGGCCTTCTGTAATCGTTCGGATCCGTGATTTCAGGAAGTTTGAACTTGGGACCGCTATACTACATCTACATGTGCATGCTTGCGGTGTTCTGCACGAACGCCATCAATATACTCGCGGGCATAAACGGACTCGAGGTAAGTGGGATGAAAAAATCCTCCTTAGAGAAGATATGCTGGATTCCGGCGGAGAAACTCGCTGTTCCCCCAATGCCGAAGCTGTGGGGCTCCCATCAGTAGACTCGTCGCCTCCTTCTTACAGACCGGTCAATCACTCGTCATCTCGGCATCTATCTCGACGTTCAGTTTCGTGGAATACTTTTTAAGAGGGGAGCTGGGGCACGTACTGAGTCTGTGTTTGATGCCGGCATTCTTCGGCACCACACTGGCACTGTACAAATTCAATAAGTATCCCTCGAAGGTATGACCCGAGATTCTCTCCTCTTGCCGCTAGAGCTGTCGACATTGAGAATATCATCTTCCGCTAGGTCAATTCTATCAGTGAAGTCTGAATCCGCCCCGTTTTCCCAGGTATTCGTCGGTGACACTTTCTGTTACTATGCTGGTATGACGTTTGCGTGCTCTGCGATTCTGGGCCATTTCTCCAAGGCGATGCTTCTATTCTTCATTCCGCAGGTGGGTACCGAACCTACTCAATATTCTCTTACGAAATTGTCCGCAGAGCAAGCGCATAACTTCTGTGTCCCTCCTCCCAGGTACTGAATTTCCTCTATTCGGCCCCTCAATTATTTAAACTTATTCCATGCCCACGGCACCGTCTGCCTTTCTACAACCGGTAGGAGTTCTGATACAGCTCTGTTCTCCTGAAGGCATTCGTCCCGTAAATTCTTCTAATCCGGCCCCGCTAAAAAATATCTCATTGATCTCAATCACAGCGAGAATGGGCTCCTCCTGCCTTCGACGACGACATTTAGAACCGACACTCTGAAGCCGAATGGTGTGAGAGTTCTACGCTTCCTGCAGCTGTTCCGGCTCGTTAAAGTTGAGCAGCACCAAGAGCCGCATACGGTTGAAATAAATAACTTGACTATCATCAACCTCATTCTCGTTTTCAAAGGTGAGTTGTCTCCTGTCGACAACATGTAATGGGACGAGTCCATCAAAGCCCGGTCTCAATTCCAATCGAAAAATCGGAAATTACAGGGCCAACCAACGAAGGAGAGCTAGTACGGCTCCTGATGAGGATCCAGATTTTCTGTAGCTTGGTCGCTTTCTCATGTTATTATGCCATCGGCCAGGTCCTCTTTTGATTAGCGTTATAATGAAGTTGTATATGACCGTACAGTCTAATGTAATGAACTGAAACAGACCTCATTGTAAGCTAATAATCCTACCGGCGGGTCTTTTTTTTGTGCGCGCTGGCGCTGTCGTCTCATGAGTATTGGTGTGATCCTGCCGGCGGTGAATGCAGAATAGTTTCGATGCAGGAAACGTGACGGAACTCGCGGTCTGACGATTGCATGCCGTAGGGAGTACTCCTGCCTTCTTCTCGGCAAGATATCGCACGGAGTTGATTTATGTCATCATATTACATCGGCGAGGAAAGTCTCGAGTCATATGGATCAGTGACCTTGAATTGTCCCCTTGTTGACGTATGTAACGCGACGTTCATGGAGAACGACCCGATCCATAGGAGGATTCCTTCGATCGAGCCTTCTTCGAGGAGTTGGAGAAATTTATCAACAGCCGCCTTCAAGATCTCGATCGCAGCCGCTTCGCATACGGACCCGATATGAGAAATAATCTGTAGCGGGAGATTCGTCAACGATGAAATTCCGGAAAAGCTGACCAGGTAGTCGCTTCTCATCCGCAGTCCTCGGCTAAGGGACATTCCAATATCTGATAGCGACCTCTCGACTCGACGTTGGGACCCCAAGCCGGAACTCGGTAGGGAATCCATCCCCGGGGTCTCAAAAGACTGCTGACAGCCAGACCGCGGTTTTTCGGGGGCTTTCGGTCACAGCGGAGTGGGAACTTCCCCTGGAGAGGGTCTTCTCAACAAAGATCTGGATCGCGGGAACGATCGGAATCGATCCTCTGCATCAATTTATATCGTTTCTCCTTTCGGAATAGAATGTCACGGATCGCGTGAACCGGAAAGATCCTGAAGGAAAACAACGCTCGTTTTCGGAGGTAGTATGGTCATTGATGTATTTTGCCTCGTGATCTATCACATCGAACGGAACTCTTGAAGAAAGCTTAATTTTAGTTCACTTTCCGTACCTAGCGGGCAGCCTGGGCCCCGCTTCACTTGCTGAGCCTTCGGCGCCATAACTAAGCTGACAGCTAGAAGAGGTCGTAAAAATTGCGAAACAAGGCTGGGGTTTATGTCAACCCTTATGAGTTTCGATATCCAGAGTCCCAGATCACGCTCGGCGCGAAGAAGATGCAGTTAGGATCTCGTCCTGCGGCTTTCGAACAACACCATCAGACAGTCGAAAATGAGAAGGAAGCCCGCGGGATCGAGAATCGGAAGCCATCACCGCCACGCGTGTGAGATCAGAACCAATTTACACAAAATTCTTGTGTGTTTCTGTTTGTTTGCTTGTTTGTCTGCGTGTTGTGTGTTCGTTCGTATGTACTTATGAATATATATTTTTATATATCTTTATGTATTATATATCTCGAGTCCCTCCCTACCAGAACATTCCCAAGCCAAGAGTCTCGCAGCTTCGGCCGCGCTTCCTTTCAAACGTTGTTAACCGTGTCTGACAATACGGCAGAGCTCGGAGCTGGAACTTGTAGGCGAGAATCAGAGGAGAGCTGTTCAAAAATCATCCCGAAGGGCGGCCGAGGTCGGGAAACATTGCAACTATAACGTATCGTGGGCGCCAAGGCATCCACCCTTTCTGTAGGCAGCCCGCTCATTTCGACGAATTCCACTATTGAAATCTGGCGTCAGTCCTGAACGAATGACGACCGAGCTCCTCCCGGATCTGATCGAGCCTTCACATCTGAACAAGTCGAAGTCTCTTGGTGTTGTTGCTGTTACTGAACCCGTCGACAGACTCCTCGTCGCTGTTGCCCATCGGAGGAGTTAGCGGTGGAGACGGCAGACGCTTGAGGCTTAATCGAAGTTCTTCGGAAGAAATGTTGTTGCTCTGAAAGTGTGAACGGAAATCCAGGTTAGGAAGCTGTCATCCGCGTCTCGCAGCAATCGGAGAACGGATTATCTCGGTGGATATTTTAGTTGGAGGTTCCGTCTCGCACAAACCTTCCAAGCTTCGGAAACTTTTCCGGAAGATGAGTCCTCTTCATCGCTGACAGGGTCCTCTCGGTAGCCCATCTGCGTTGGGCATCTCATCGTGATGTCCTTGAAAGATTCCTCCTTGGAGAACAAAAGCGAACGGCTCTTGACAGTTGCAGGGATATCGGTGTCTTCGACGGAATTGGGCGTCTGCTCTCCCAGTCGCGAAAGCAGTTCTCCCGTCAACTTCTCAAGCTGGGCCTGAGAGTTGGCGCTTTTGCTTTGTTGATAGAGCGAGTTTTTCAAATTGGGCAGCAACAATAACGAGAACGACAGCAAGAGGACCATGACGCATGTGGACGTCTGTGCCCCGTTGTTGAGTCCGGGGTTGGGCTGACCGCTGAGTTGACTCTGAAGTCGGCGAAGCTGAACAAGCAGTGAATTGTTCTGTCGTTCCAGAGTTTCGACTTTTTTCTGGAGAGCGACATTCTGTTGACTGCACTGCTTCACCTTGCTTTCCAGACCGTCAACGTATTCTTTCTTGCGTTTCCGACTGTCTTGTGCGCTCTGTTTATTTCTGATTTTCCGCCGAATCTTCTTCAGCTCTCGCTCTTCATGTTTTGTCAAGGGTAATTGCGCCGGGATGGGAACGCCCTCTTTCTTCATAAGGCGCACCTCTTCCTCCGTTAGCACCAGGGTACCCGCAGGACCACTGATCGTGTGGCCACCACTCTGATTGCGTCCGGATTTCAGGGTTCTGGATTTGATGGAGGTTGTCGTGATGATTTTGTGTGGTCGACTGTGTCCCGTCACGGTGTTCACGACCGGTGTCTCGCTCGACGTGATGATGATATCGGCAGCGATATCGCCCGACAGAACTTCCTCACCGTCGTCCATGTCTTCGACGCATAATTCTTCCTCGTAGAGTGGCGAGGAGGTCACATCGAGTTCGATGTCTTCATCTCCGGTATCCTCGTCACATGTGTCCTCTTTCCCGCCACAAGAAGATACGCCCGAGGACGTGGACATGTGAGGCGAGCCCGAGCGCTCCTGTTTGATTTCATTTTTTACAGGAGGTTTCGAGTGTGTGGTCGAAGGATTGCTCTGCGAGCAATAAGAATGCTCGTACATCGACTGGGGGTCGATAGCCTCTTCCTTAAGGTCGATCTCCTCAACGTCTGGCGAAGGGGGAGCCGCTGCTTCGATGTCACCTATGGAAGGAGAGAGTTAAAGCTCCAGATCGAATCGAGGTGGCGGACGTTAATTCCGAGAACGATTCAAAATTCATCCGTCGCATCATGGATCAATACTGTTCCTCGTCGGATAGAACGTCAGGGAGAGATGTGCCCGCGGAGATTCTCCTACACGACGCAATCGGAGCCGAGGAACCCAAGATACGTCGGGAGGAAAGCGGTCAGGCTACTTACCATTGGTGAGGTACTTGGTCCAAAACTCGAGTGATGAGTCTTCATTCGGTATATAGTCGCTCTCTAGCTCTTGGGGAAGATCGGAAAGGAGGGCCGGCTCCTTATCCAAAATGGAGTCGATAGGGTCCCTATCGAGTAGGTCGAAGAAGTTCAGGGTGTCCATGCTTCGGGCGGGCGCAGCCGATACGACGATTATTCACTGGAAGCAACGAAACAAACAGGGTCAAGACCTGCCCATTCACTCCATGTCCGCCAGGGAGGATTCAGTGACTGAATGCCACACGTCAAATTTCATCAGTGCTTATCAGGGCAATCTGCTTCGTTGTGATATAACCGGCGTCACGCTCGACCACGCTCCGTTCTTGGGCTTCGCGGCGTCTCACAAACGAGTGCTAAGGTCGGCAGACTCGACCGGAACTCGAGCGATTCGTCGCCTAATCTTCAATATCCAGCTCTACGACAATGTCGGCGAGCCTCCTTTCGAGGAGGCTCGTACGGGAGACCTCCGACACGCTGTGTCCGTCCCTGTTCGAGGACGACAGCCTACCGAGAGGAACGTGCGACGCTCACCTAAAGAATGCGGTTCATGCATTTCCCCCTTGTGTTCGTCGCCGTCTTATGCGCTTAAGAGTCACTCACTCACTCGCAACCACAGACGAAACGAAATGATACGGTCTGTGCTCTCTTCTAAGCACACTCCGCGCGCACATATCTAAGCAGAGATGATGAGATAATAATTACGAATATCCGATTTCGCTGACACCCCTGACTCGGCTCTGTCTCAGTTGGCCCGAATAAACTCGACAATATACAATGTCAACAGGCGCGTCAAGGTCAACAACAAGCTCGATTTTCATCGGTAAAGCGAGCCGTCTTCTTATCGGAAACACGTTCTACCGATCAAGGAGCGGGCAGATGCCACGGGATTCCGCAGTGCCGAGAAGAGAATCCTCGAGAAGGCCTGACACCGTTGCCCTCAGAACTGTTATCGCATTCAATCCCATACGTTGAGGCAGAAACCGGAAAGCTCAACCTCTCATGAAGGGAAACCACTGACTCACGGAAGAAGGAACCGGTGGTCAGCGCCTCGTGCTAGCGCGACGCTATCGATTTGAATAACAATGCATCTACAAAAGTGGGTCGCCTGTTTTGAATGCCATGTCTTACCGAGCGTTGCATGGTCCTGCGAGCGGTCGGCTCGATCGCTGCCGGGTTACAAAACAAGTGGATCAATGCACAAATACCTCACAGGGCATCGGTTTGCGCTCGGCATCTACATACTGAATTATTTCATATAAACAGACGCCAAGAAGAGAGTCCCCTCGCGGGAAATAACTTGTCTTGCTGGAGATCCCGCAGGAGGATAGTCGAAGAACCAGATCGATTCCCCACTCCGGATTCTACCCTTTCCGTTAGACTTCGCGGCTTGAATCCCGGCAGGCCACGAAAGGTCACGAACTTTCGTTCGGCTAGTACCCGAACGCTGCCGAGCTACGCTACCACCACGTTCTAGGAGAGGAGAGGCGTGTATTGCGGCGATGTTTGTCCTCGAGGAAGACTCCTTGCAAGGTCTCGGAAACGGATTCGGCGAGCTTTGGCGGACCGAAAACGTGCTCGTTGTGTTTACCGACGAATCACGCAAAGATACAGCTCAAATCTCTCGAGTAAACCAACGACAGCTAAGCCCCTCGTGTCTAGGGCCATGGATAAATGAGAGAACAATGAACATTTGGAAAATGTGGCGTGAGCCGCTCCAGAAATCAGCTGTCCTTTTCTTTTCGCGCGCCGATCACTTTATCGAGTTCTGTAGTCAAGTGGGACTTCTTTCAAATGCGCCGCCCTCCAAGGATTATGATACTCTCGCGCGCGGAGATGCGCACCGGGGCGAGGCACAGATGTTTCCCTGTGCTCGGCTGTCGAAACAGTTTGACAATGAGCCTCGACGTCAAAATGCCTAACCCAGTTATTGATCCACGCGTTCTAAGAACTCCACACGGCTGCTTTCGCCACCGTCGCCCTAGCCCGGGGCAGGTCTCAGGTGTCCTTGGCCATATGGAGCCTACGACAACGTGCTCCTCCCGGAATCGCTGGTATTCGCACAGCGGGCTTGAGATCCGAACGCGGAGCTCGAAAATGAGGGATTTCATTTTTCTCCAGGGAATTCATCCATCGCATTTCGCCAAAGGGAATCATTCCCCGAAGCTATCAGGATTTTCCCAGAGACACCGATTGCGGGAGAATATCTTCAGCCAACGGCACACTTCGGAAACTCAACCCTCCAGGCTCCCAGGGCTCGGAACTTCGGGCGAGCTTCTGTAGCCACGGCTGATTTTTATGGCACCGAAACCGCATTTCTAAGCGCTGCACCGGTATTTACACACGAGGCCTACGGCACCATTCGCCGGTGCATCGTCCTAGTTCATCGCCGAAAGGATTCGCACTCGGAGCTCGTGTCCCCTCGTGGCACGGCTCCTGACAGTTCCCTTCCGGCTGAGTCTGCTGAATCTTCGACGTTCATTCTATTTCTCTCTGCGCCCTCGTCGTCTCGTCGACGACTCAGGAGGATGTTTACGGAGGAAAAAACTTTCTGGTCGACCTTTGGGAGCGTTCGACGACGCGCGAGGGGAAGATTAATCCGAGACATTATCACTTGGGAGGAACTCCGAACACCTGCTCGAAAACGTCAGATGACCCACCTCTGTGTCACATATGTTCGCCGGGACGTGGGTTCGACACCGACGACGTGGACGATGATTCCGTGGAGAGCTGCTCTCTCGAGCAGAAATGGTTCTGAGCGCACTGAATCACTCGAAAAGGAACTCCGTGGGCCTGAGCTGAGTGTTCAATTACCAACACGTGGTTTTCGGAGCCGAAGCCCGGCTCTTTGCCTGTGCTTAGACTACCGCTGTGGCGTGCAAGCTCTGTAACAGGTTACCACCGTCGCCGCTGTCTGCGAACGGAGCGCCGCTGCGGGAGTCACGGAAAATACGTGCGTACGGAACAACGGTCCGCATTTTCTCATGGATTTCGAGCGTTCCGAATTGAGAATTGAACTTCGGCTCCGATGGCGAAGAGTTGTTGCTAGCGTCGATGGCTGCGCAACTTCAAGACTTCAACATCAGACTGCTCTGTGTTGGAATGGTTTCAGCAAGGAGCCGGCGGGCACTAGGGTGGTCAAGTCTTGATTGTTCTCCGAGAGAATTCCTCGCATCGACGAGCGAGTCGGAATTCTGTGTTGGAGAATGAGTCCTCCCCATCAAGAAAGAGCAGAATCACGCGAGCGAGTTTGAATATCGACCGCGGCTGTAGACATTCGGTTCCGAGTCGCTGCGTGGCATCTAAGACGTTTGACAACGGGTTCAGCCAACAAGCCAGAAGTGGTCGCGATCTTCTCTTCTCGGGAGTCGATGAACCGAAATGCCCCATGACAAGTAGTCAGGGACTCGTGTGTTTGCCGCATCCGCGGAATCGCTGATCGACCGACGACGACGCCCCGACTGAGGCAGAAAGGGAACCTCCCACGATTTTCAGAGATCGACAAATGATTCATTAGATCTGATCGGAAGCTTGTTGGAATATCCAACTCACTCAGGTACGGAGAGAGTGTCTGAGAAAACGGTCATCCACAAATAGACGGCAAAACTCCCGATTCATCAGCAGGACCATCTCGAAAACTACGTGAAAGATTCAGGGAATGCCTCTCCAAGCTTCGTCCGAACGGCTTTGCTCAATGTCACCGGAGCGATTCCCATGACAGATTTACTATGACACCCGAACGTCTCTATGCGAGAGACCATTCTGTGGTTTCCCGGCGACCCGTCTGCGGACCAGGAGCTGCGTCTGAGCTACCAGGATATTGACGGCGCGACAGCCATACTCTTCTACCGAGGTTTTTTTTCGCCATCTCTCCTACAGGTGGTCGAGTGGGGCAGATAAGTTTCGTGGCTGAGAGCAAAGACACGTGTTTTCCGACCGAGCAACACAGAGAAGCGGAGCTCAAGGTCTTCGCTGTCAATAACTACGCTCCACCACGCTGCGCCGAGGCGATGCTCCCAGAAAAGTTTTTCTTCTGCGACAGCGAGCCTCCGACCCGCTCGAAAAACCGTGCATGGACTGCTAAAATAAGCCGGAGATATCAAAGAAGGAGCCTCACACCCTCACGATTCCAGCCAATAGGTAGGAGTCCGTTTTACGTCCTGGGAAGATTTCTCCGATTCTCCACCGTTTGGGCATGGATCGGGTATGACGGCATTCTCCGGTAGATAACCTCCCGCGCGGTTATCGATCCCGCGTAGGTACCCTCCAACGTATTTGGAATACGCGCTGCATGAATCAGAGCTAAGGAATCAGGAGAGAAAGAGAGAAGCTTCATTTGGAACGAAGAAGCTTTCCTCAGCGCAGTCCATATGCCCTCGAGATGAGTCATGCGTCATGCGCCTCCGAGACCTTTTTCTCGTACGCGGGATCGCTTTGATTGTTGCGCATATCGGTAAGGAACCTCGGATAGTCCGGGGATTTCAGACAGAGATTCTTTTGACGGATCATTCGGGCGGGAACGTTGACTTGTCCGAGTGGGCCAAGTAGGCCACAAACCCAAGGCCACGGACTCACATGACTCTCTGACGACGGGTGGATGAGAGGTCCCGGAGAAAATCGACCGGTTGCAGTCTGAGAGCTACAGAGAAAGTGGAAGGAACTCCCAACCGTCGCTCGATGCGCAGATAAATTAGTTCCGGGAAGATCGCAAAGTCGTCAAAAGGAGCGCTCGACACTCTCCTAGACGTTCGCGGAGAGATGAATTCCGAACTTGGTCCGACAAAGTCAGAGATGAGCAAGAGTATCCTAGTCCATTGATGCGGGGGATATATTCGCATCGCGTTTCTCGCTTCTAAGCTACTGAAGTCTCGAAAATAGCTTTTCTTCCACGGACACTCTCTTCGGAGAGCGATCCAAACGGCGTTCTTGTTTATCACATGAGAGATTAGATGGATTCCATTGGCTTCTCTAACAAGGATCGGCGAGGCCCCCCGAACGTGTTTCGAGTCGAATCAGAATTGCATCATACTTCGGAGATGCGAGTCTCCTCTTCCATTCGGCCGAACAATCATTGGAACTGAGGCCCCGAAGATTGGAATAATTGTCGAGGCGCATCGAGGAATCCTAAAAATAGAAGCTTCTCCTCAGAACGCGGCTGCTGTACGGACCAGTCGAACCGCGACTTGACTACCGGCTTCTCGACCTATTTCCCCAGTTCGAAGACGTTTCAAGTTACGTTGATGCCAAGGGGCTCGCCACGGCGAGTGTTCTTATGCCCTTGCAGGATATTCGGCATGGGGGACTATTGCGCGATCATCTTCCCTCAGCCGTCTTGATGCTCCTTGAGCCAAAGTTGATTAGAACTCGCCGTCATCCGTTCCATGGGATGCCAACAGACATTCGATTTTCTTTCAGTCTAGGCGAATCGGAGCTGCCCGAAGGCGACACTCTCCGGCCGCTGACCCTGAATCCTACCGCGCGGAAGGTTCTATCTCGGTGACCTACCTCGATACCTCGCAGAAATGCGCACTTCGGCACCGCACAATATTTCCAGCACAGGGAGATGCCAACAGGGCGGTGACGTCACTTGACTCGGATGGATGCATCGTCTTGTGTTTGGGATCCTCGAAACCAAAACACCACACACCGACACATCCTTACACCACAAGGGCGCCGATACGCCGAAGCTAGCAAGAAGCATCGGTTGAAGGTGGAAGCGGGTAGCGGGTACCCATTAGAATAGCTTAATTTCTTACTGAATCCTCCCTCGAGGGTTGGTTGGTTTTCTCGAGCAGCTTTCGTCAGCCAGGGACGGGCGCGACCTTCCGAGAGGTTGCAGAGCTTACTGATTTCGAAATGGGTGCCTCGTCCAAGGAGACGCCTCCAGCCTCCGAGGGGGGAAGGGTGGGAAACTTCGAGACAGCGCGAGACTCGCCAGGATGGAGGGTAGATCTGTGAGTCTCTAACTCCCGTCTCAGAGAAGATGCGCCCGAATAACATCAAGCATCGAGATATGGATCCGAGATAATTTCATACCGATTCTTTGGGCAACCGTCCCGGTCTTTCCCGAGGGATCATCCGAAGGTTCATAGAATTATGGGAAGGGGTCTCCGAAGAAATATCGGGTATTACGTGAATGATCATCCGATGCTCCTGCCACCGGAAGAGAATCCCGTTCATGATTACTCGTGAAATTGATCCAGGAATGCTTCCTATCCCCGAATGGCTCTTTGGGGGCATGTACCCCTTGGAGGGGGCCGATTCGAGGCTGATCGGGGAGAGAGCCGATGAAACTCTCAGATCTCCGGTTCCAGATACAATCGAATAACTCAATGAGTCAATGAAGTCCGTCTGCGTCGGGGCGTCTTATTATAATGGGAGAGGCTCCTCCCTCCTCCAGGATTTTCCGTTATAGGAGGTTCTCCAGACGGACATCCTTTCAGAGGTGCTATCGTATCCCTCATTCCGAGCCTCCGAGGCCGGCGATTTGGTTTGCGACGCATTGCTGTCATAAGTTCTCAACTCTCAATTTCAGTGGATTTTGTGCCGGAAGAAGCTGCTCATACCGATCTGTCCGGCTTTTTTCGATCCCTGATGATAAGCGCACGAAGCGCCGGAATACGGCAGCGACTGCGAGAGAGGCTGAGGGGTTTCCTTGAGATCACCTCGACCAGCCGCCTGAAATCCTCTTACGGCTCTGATAATCGATTCGAAGGGGAGCTCGGATCGGGAATGTTTCCCTTGATTGCGACGTCTGTGATCGTAGAGCCTGGAACTTCAGGCAGAATGCCACAAGTGCTCTTTTTGCCTCATACCGTTATTTTAGCGACATTTCGCCTCTTCTGCGTTTTTTCGGAGCATTTTGCCTTTTCCACCCTGAAGTCGAGTTCGAATGTTGCTTGGCAGGGGTTTTTCGGGCAAGACTTCAACCTGGTGACCGGAGAAAGCTACATTTGCTCTTCTAGTCCGACTACGTATCGAATCAAAGCTTTTCTCAGTATTATGTAATCGATCCCCGAGACTCTGTCGCCCGTGAATTTCCCCTGCCACGAATTCGGTTCTGCACTGAGCTCCACCATGTCGTCGCAATTTGAGTATGAGTCTCGGCCCACGGACTTTCGAGAGATCGCTGCAGAATATTGATAGGTAGCCGAAAAATAAGTGAAAATCTCGAAAGCAACGATGCCACCGCAACTGGAAGGTCGGAAGACTTGCTGGAGCTCTCGTGTCCCGAATACGCTTCACTGATCCGCGTGAATGAGGGGCGCTTCTTTCAGTGCCTTTTTGCCTGCCTTTTCTCGGGTTTTCGGTGCCGAAAAGTCCTAGGTGATCAGTCTGTCGCTAATGAGATAAGCACCAGGATATGCTTGCAGGAACCGATCGAGATCATCCCGAGAGACAGGGAGAATCTTAAGCATAGTCTAACAAACTCAGCGATCTGTGTCTGTGACTCCCTCGAGACATGGACCGCATGACTTTCTCAAGCTCTGGAATTCGAATTCGCGCACCTCTACTAGCCACTGATGTAGCGGAGGCTATTTATGTAACGAATCACGAAGCAATATGGCGGACAGCCGGTCGCCGCGGGAGGGCCGCATCGATGTAGAGGGCGAGAGCCGGCGGTGTGTGGTCATTCGGTCGCAAAGAAACATGGCGGACGAACAGTTTGTCGGCTGGAGCAGCGGGAACGGACCGCATCGCCAAGCAAGATGGCGGACCGCTGCCGCCGGCGTGCGCGGGAGCACGCCACGAGCCCGTTCTCCTCTCCGGCGCTCTCACATGTGTCGAAGAGAACTCCTAGCAAGACGGGATAGCTGCGCTGTGTGCTTGATTTGATTGTGTTGAGAATGTTTCTAAGGCTATCCTCCCCAACGGCCTGAGTTTCTTGAAAACCGGTGAACAAAATATCTAGCTGCGCGATTTAAGGCTCCGTAGAATGGCTTCGAGCGATTTGCCGGATGACATGTCCTGTCTTCTGATCGTTCCGAAGGAGCAGCTCTGGATCAATCTCTATCCGAATGCTCTCACGAACGTTCGGCGAGCTCTGAAAACATTCCTCGATCAGCGAATCGGGAGATTCTGCAATAAGTGAGTTCATCCATTGCATATTCTCGATGATCTCCCTTCAGTTTCTTGCTCAAACATGCGTAAGGGATGCGAATTCCCCGCGCGCGGAGCTGCAACTCTTCCCGAACCTGCATATTTTTCCAGGAATAATGGCATCCTCCTCAGCTATACAGATCTCAAATTCAGGGCGAAACATTTCCAAGTAAGTCGAGTCCCCTACCCGGGGGTAAGTTACCCCTTCGACATACCCAGTGTGGGGGCAAACCTGGGCTTCCAGCGATGCTATATCCGGACTACAGAAGATAACGACTCTTTCCCTACCGGGATCGAGCTGATGGAGGCGACTCGGAAGTTCAGTCCATGAGATAATAAATATGTATGCTCGATGGTATTTCAGGTTTTTGAAGATTACCCGATGTGTCGTTTCCCCGTATCCATTTCGGCAACCTACTATAAACCGGAGCCTGGGACAATGGCCACCGGAACCATCACAAGGTTCGAAATTCAGTCTCGTCTAAAGATTGACTCGTATGATGGGTCATGTTCGATCGGTTCGGAAAACATGCCAGCTTGATCCTTCCAGAATCGATCACATAAGCGTGACTTGTCTCATCCACGGTCTGATCCATGTGTCGATATCGCTCCGGAAATCTGTGAATTTTGACACTTGGTGCGCGATGGGTCAACAAATCGTCTTCCTCATAAAGGGTGGGGAGATGCACTACAAGGGAGTCAGGTGAGCGGTCGGAAATCAACGCCGGCGTGTGATCTGGAGTACGAATCCTATCATGGAGCGAATCAGCGTAAATTCTTCCACAATTCGGCAAGACCCAGTTCGGATATTCCACGTTGAATTTGCAGATTGCAAGCGATTGTCACGCAAGAGTGCGTGGACAAAATGCAAGACGCTTTCCCCGCCTCGAACCGCAAACGGACATTCTCGTCGAGCTCGGCGGATTCCGCAGCCACGACACCAATTAAACCGAAAGCGAAGAAAAGACGAATTTCCGAAATACTAAATCCAGAGTCGAGAGGAAGCGATGCCGACTTCTTCGATGGTAAGCGAAACCTTCCCGCTGGGAAACTTCCACGAGTGCCTTGAACGATGGGCGGGCTCAGTATTGATTGATGCTGCTCGCGATATGATTATTCGAAGCACCTCGGACGTGCCCGTATGCTCTCCGCTCATTGTTTCGTGAGTTCTAGGCTCCGATTCATATGATTTCGGGTCCCCTGACTTCACATCGACGCAGCGACGTCACAACATCCGAGCCAGTAGTGATACGGAAGGAATAGAAATCACGGATTCGGTAAGCTCGGCGTGCTTCTAGTCGGAAATATCTTCCCCCGTCTCGGCCGATGATGTTCTTCAGCTCTGACTGTCGTTCTACTCCAGGAGGAACCGCAATTCAAGGATGAAGTTCTGTCGAGCCAGGATGAGGTGACGCTTCTGGAGGCGTCTAGTAAGCGACGGAAGAAGAGTCGATCGAACTTGGCTTGAATCTTCTCGCAGAAATAAAGCTGTTGACCCTGTAATGTATCTGATGTGTCGTGTTTCTCACACACTGAGCCGGAAAAGAAGCTTGAGAAAAACACACGATTGGGGCATTTGTCTTCACGATTGGAGAAGTCATGAGAGGGACAGAATCGATCGTGAAACTTGAGAGAGACATATCGAGGACTAAGCATGCGAAAAAAAGGAATACATATGAGTGAGGTTTTTTCTCTCCCTCTAAGCTGGGGAAGGAAACCTATTCACGTCTTCGGGAATCACTGCCCCGAGAACAGGTCGAACGCGGCAATGGTGATGGAGAAGTCATATCGGTGGCTCTTGCATCCACAGAACATTGTATGGAGGCTTCGGAGCGAAACTCCAGACTCAGTAGTCAAGTTGCAGCTCAGCCACGTCCTCTCTCTGCGCTTGCACATCCAGTGGTGGGTATATCACACTACGGCCGACTCGCTCTCCCAGATTCAGAATCGAAAGGAAATTCGGCTCTCCCCTCCTAGTATAAATAGGCTGCATGTTTCTCCAGGAATCTCGACCCCGTTGTGGGTTTGTCTTGAACCAGAGACACGAACTGACGCTCCGAAATTATTTTCCGTGCTAATTTTATTCGAGGGGAGTCTCAATAAATACGCTGTTGATAAATTAAGGCTCGATTGCGGTTGAGTTGGATGCCCTCTTGTGACCTAGAGAATCAGGGGTGATTCTGCGAGACTGTTGGCGGTATCCCTGACATCCTTCCTGCCTTGACAGACTACCGCATGATCGGCTCCCTCGGCGGAAATTTTTTCTTCCAGCATTCCAGCGTGTTTGCGAAGTCCATCCCTAGAATTATAGTGTTCGTGATATAGTTATTGGAGCATTTCCATGCTTCCCCCTCCCCTCCATTCGACGCGAGACAGAGTATTATATTTCGTAAAGTTCTCATTCCGTCGGAATTCTTCGTCCGCGGTCCGCGGAGGCTTCCTCGGCGAAAGCCGTTGCTCTTGTGAATTATGGATGTCTTACCTGGCCGTCTCGAGGTTTTTCCTTGTTCTGTGCCACAATTTTTGACCGTGATCGATTCTCCCCTGGAGGTACTCGACGTTTTCGAGAGTTGCCTTGCGTTCGATGCAGTAGTTCTTCAAGTTGATTTCCCGGCTGACCGGCGTCGCGGCCCAGCCCTCAGACATCAGGGCGCAGAGGAGCAGGATCAGGATTTGTTTCATATTGAGAGTTGCGATGTACACTTCACGTCGAAGCAGATTCGGAATCGGACTTATTGCCGGGGAAGTCGAGTGGAACTCTCCGGGGGGAAACTTTTGCGCTCCTGCGCGAAGATGACACGAAGCCCGGGCCGACCAGCAGCTGGAAATCAACGGCTGGAAAATGGAAAACGGTCAGCCGTTATATAGCGGCCGCGGAAGCAAGAAGGCGAGAACGGGAACTTCAACTTTATTCTGGCCAGAGCCCCGACTCGGAGCGGCAGCCGCGGCGACGGTGACGGCAGAAAAGGGGAAAAAGATGAACGACGAGACGACAAAAAAGATGAGAAAAAGACGAGAGAGAAAGCCGACGCAGCATAGCAAGCGAATGCGAGCGGTCGTCGTTGTGATTTTGCGGCTATCGCTGCTGTTGAAGTCGACTGGACCGCAGCGTGAGTTCCGTGTGAACTGAAAAACGAAACAGGGAGGCGGAGAAAAAAGCATTCAACATGAGAACACTCCCGTGAAAGTAACCAGCTTCTCGGGCTTGGACCGTCAGACCAGTGCACACACTCACTCCCTCATCCGAGCGGGCGTAGAAAGAAAAACTCTCGACAAAAAAATGGTTCGATCCTGCCTTTTTCACAAATCTATCTCTGAGCAGAGCCCGGAAAAGAAAGAGGTGTCACTGCTCTGTGTTATTTAAGTCCTCTACTGAACAAACCGGAAGAGGTTCTACGATTGCTCCCATCATTATTCCGTTGGAACTCGTTTCAACACATGTGGGCTAGACTTGAGCGGGAGAAGCTACTGTTCCACCCGGGTCCAGAGATCCCGGAAGGACCTCTAGCTCAGAGTGACGTCGAACCTGATTTTTTTTAAATCTTCGTTTCTCCCCAAAGTGACGAACGAAGGGATGCGTTGCGATGGGGAGTTGCTTGCCCGAATTTCCCGCGGCTCGAAATTCCTCTCCTCCGTCCCGAATACGTATATTGATCCGATCCCACGAATTCCTCGCGAGATATGGACGATCAGCCCTCTAGGACGATGGGGAGATCGAGGGATGGATATTATTTAATCGAAACAGAACGGTTTTTTTTCAGCCGATCTGTATGATCTTGAACCTCTTCTGACCAGCGCTTGTCCAGAGTTGCCGCTCTAAAGAGCCGGTCGAGGTGTCGAGAACCCACCCGTTTCGGGTCGCAGAAAGCCTTCCCCAATATCGTCCACGAATCGGACGGAAAGCTCTGACCTGAATTTCCGCTTCGGAAAAGACACGCGCGTGAGGCGCATCCGCAGCTAGAAGTCATGACCGATGATTCTGTAGATGTCAAAGGACTCCCCCTTGTGTGGCGTGCGTCCGTCATCCTTGCGGGTTCCGATTCACAAAGAAATCTGTGTCTCGCTGGACATTTTTCTCCGCAGAATCAGGTGCCATGGAGTGCGCTGATGATATTCTCTAGGGCTATCAGCGGATGATTCAGTCGGACCACCATACATACCTACTCGCGGGTCATGACTGCCGCCTCTCAGGTTTCCAAGATGCCCTCTTGGGGACTCGCTCGTTCTCTTCCGTCTCCCTCGCAGCAACGACACCTTCCCCACAGGGCATGGAATTCTCGGGTCCGTCTTTGATGGAGGAACCCCCACAGCTAATCGGGATCGTCCCCGCGTTTTCCGACCCTTCCCTACATCGACCCCCATGGTAGGAATACCAACGTGATCGATGTCGTTCGAGGGGGAGCATAGATGAGCGTCAACGTCGAAGACATCCCGATAACCGAGACCTACAGGCATGGGCCCAAGTCACCGGATCCGCGGAACCCGAGGCTCTTCAGATGTGCAATTACCCAGGGGGGGGGGCGAGCGCTTGGGCCTTCCGAAAACTTCCGGTGTCAGCGCCGGAGTATGGGCGGCGGGCGGGCGCGTTTCCAGCTCTCGGTCCCTGAGAACTCGCCCCGCCGGTCCTCAAATCGGTAAGGAGGGGGGGAAAACCCTGCGTTTGAGAAATAGATATTCGAGGACCTTGCATGTCTCCGGGAGGAACCCAACTTGTGAGCCTCTCCTGGACTATGAGCATGACTCCGGCTTCATCCCATGTCCGGACTAATCACTTCTAGATGAAATTAATTCACTACGAACTTCCACTGTGAGAAATTTACGATCCTTCCGGAACTGAACTTAGACTCAGTTTTATTTGCATCAGACAAAGTTACGCTTCAAACTATTCATAGCCAAAGGAATTTCAGAGCCCCCGTCTTGCCATCACTAGAGCTGTGCGCCGCGCCGAGCATTGCAGGTCTCGTAGACTCAATGTTCACGCGCCATGGCGCTCAAGCATTGAGGCTATGGCGCCGCGCTCCGCGTTCTGGATACGGCGCACAGCACTGGCCGGCACCGAAGATATTGCTTCAGAGGGACCCACGGTTCCCGAGTTACAGGAGCCATCTGTCAGATCTTCGTCCGGCCTATCAGCATGGGTCAGCAACCATTCATTTCTCGCGGCCCAGTTTTTCCTTCAGAAATCGACCGCTCCTCTGGTCACAAAACTTGAGGCCCGATATGGCCCTGCATGATCAAGGGCTCGTCAATATCGCGGCCACGTCGATGGAAAGTGGGTTTTCACTTATGATACGCCACAATTCGGCCTCGTGCTTGAGTCCCAGATCGTAGAATCACCATGGCCGGCTGCTGGGGAATGAATGGTGCAGGATATTAGGTATATGTCCCAAGGTTTAGAATGATATGTTACGGTCATGTTTTCAGATTTCTTGAGCACTGAATAACGGATGTCGTCAGAGCAGACGTCGGAAGTTGGGAATGGTTATCGATTTCATCATTGAGTGCATGAGTTTCCAGGATTACGAGCGGAGCGAACATACCCGAGGTGCCGAATGGGCTCAGATGTGCTCGTCTCGAGCATGCAGAACGGTCCATGCAGAATTAGGGAGCCTATGAAAGAATTCAAAAGTATTTAGGAGGAGCTATCTCTTGAAGAGGGAAGGTTCGTTGAGGTAGGCAGTGTTCAGTAGAGGGAGCTACACTTCTCCAAGGAATTTGGGTAGTCAGCTTAAAAATGATTCCGGATAGCTATTCATCATGATATTGATCGGGACGAGAGCGTGACATTCGGTTAAGTTTACCTTTCTCGGTTTTCGTGACGCAGGGGTGCTCAGACTCTTCCAACCTCAGAATACCGCGAGTCCCCGTCAGAGCTCGTTGATGGTTCGCTACATCTCTTCGAGGGACGGCGGAGGTCGTGAATCCTCTCTCGGGCTCCACCGAGCACCGCCTCGTCGTCGCCTCAGTGCCTTCATTGAGGTCCTGCCCACTATCCAGTACTCATGACGAACACCTAGAAAGAGACTCGTCTTCACTAATCGCGTCGTGTTTCTACCGGTGTTCCTTCGATCGGGATCATATCAGAAGACGCTATCAATCGCCATTCATTCGTCAGACGGCACTTCCTATAAGCGGGATCATCAGATCGTCTGGAATCGAATCAATCCATCGGAAACTTACCGCGAGATGACCTCTGCTCGTCTCACGGACTCGAAGGAATCCGGTGACAATCGCCATTCGCCCGTGAAGCTCGCAGCGTCTTCCTCACGCCGGCGCCCTGGAATGGATTGAAAGTTCTGAAATCGACGTCGCCGAGCAAGCTCGAGCAGTGTTCGTGAATTGAGGTTCAGTTTGTGCCCCTTGTTTGTCTTCAGCAAATGTCAGACATATGCTTGTCTATTAGGTAATCATCACCATGGCAATTAGGATCTCGTCAAAAGCATGGAATTCCACAAGGACTAACCTCGAGCACCTGAGGACTCGAAGGATGTTTCAGGAATTCTGATATCAACAGAGCGAACGAGAGTCGATGATTTTTAGGCCCACGGCGCTCCCTTCCCAACACCCGCCCGCTAGGAATTCGAGCGCTGGTACCGACGAATCGGCATACGAATCATCTGCAAAGCAGGAATATTGGTCGTCGGTTCACCTAGGGAGCTCCAGATTCAGCAGAAATCGGTAGTATCAGGTTGTGCCCCTTGTTTGTCCGCAGCGGAGGTCAGACATATGCTTGTCTTTCAGGTAATCATCACCGAGAAGCAAGTACATGGTGCATTTTCATTGATCCACTCACTGTATCAGAACTAGGGCTCTCACATCGATACGGAGGAAACCGCTTTGCGGTGGAGCGGTGTCCGCACGGCGACCCGGACACTGGGGGAATTGGGAATTTCATCATAGGGGAGCACTCTGTGTGAGCAGAATCCGACGGGTCTGCAAGGAGGTGGAATCGGGAAAGTTAGAGTAGAGAAAACAAATAAGTCACTAATTCTTTACGCTTATAGTTCTCAGTTTCATGATGTTGTCCTCAGTGGAGGTCAGACATATGCTTGTCTTTTAGAAATTCATCATTGCAGCGGGGTAGGGATACTTGGGGGGCTCATATAGAAATACGGTCGCATTCGTAGTGTGTCGTATGGCCTACTGTCAAGACAACCGTCATGTTTCGAACGGTACGCTAGCGAAACCAAACTTGTTCTTGTGACACCGATTGATCCCACCCCGGGAAGCAAAGCAGGCTAACAGAGGTTCTACTACAGTGCCATATATGATAATGATATACGTCGCGGTAAACTCGATTGTTGCATGTTTCAACCTTCTCTTCTCCGAGATATTTCGGCAACATCGCGGAGCTTTTGAGGAAGATTCAGTTTCGCCATATCAGATTAGCCGGTTCGCAGCCTGTAATGCCGCCCCAACTTGCCCATAGACGTGGCTTGTTCCTGCACTCAAGTTCGTGGTGTTCTCAAGTGTCACGGATTATCTTTCCCCTGTCCGCTGGAACGTTACAGTGGACTTACTCGGCTCGTGTTCGGTTTAGCCGACTTGGAAGAAAATCAGCCCGACAACGCTTCGAGCGCCGCACACTGTCTGACGTCGGCAGCTTCGGCACATGGAAGGCTCGAGGGGTAACTCTTCGCGCTGCGATAAGCATGTGAGCAAACTTACGGGGCCCACGATCACGCATGCGATTCGCAGGTACGGAGATTGCCCCTGATTCATTTGTCTGGCCTTTCCTGATTCCGTGGCGAAGAGCGCCAACGATTCCAAAGTAGACCAGAGTCAAATTGAGAAAGATCGATTCTTGTCACCATTTGCAACGTGTGCAAGCGCAAACATCCTATCGAACCAAGACGGTCCTCCAGGTGATGTTTTGATCACTAGTGATCTGTGCTCCGGGTTGAGCTCAGCTAGCAATCCACTCATTCGATATTGCAACATTATGACACCTAGACGTTCATGGGCCAACTTCCAGGCTCTAATATATGCTGCGTACGACTCTCATCCCCGATTCAATCGCTCAAGAATTTTCAAAGTCTCCGAATCGAGGGGAAGACACATACCCTAGGCTCCCGCGTACAAGAGGGCCAAGGAGGCTCTCTTGGGCGTTTGAAAGGTTGGAGGCTTGAGATCTTGGTGTCGTTCACCTGATGGGGAACAAATGATGCAATTTAAGGATAAGACCGAATAATGTAAGGAGCTAGTCGAGGAGGGGAGTATCCTTATCAGAAACAATAACGCAGTTTGTCTAATCACAGGAGATCAGAGGTGTCCTAAGTTAGTCTCATCACGTAAAATATACTTCTCAAAGGGCATGGCGAATAGCTGCGGCCTACCTTGCGAGACGGGAGGAATGCACCCTCTGGTACGTCCGGATTATGAATAGGGATGCACTGCCATCTTGACTGGGAGCAGACTTGACATGTTTCCTGGCCTCCTCACCTCCGTCGGATGGTGATTCAGCCCGGGCGAAGATCGGAATACATTCCATCCAACGAAGCTTCCGAGGGATCGGGAGATCTGCGGGGTGAAGGGAGGTTAATTAGCGATGTTCCCGTCTCGATCGATGTTGCTCAGGATTGACGGGCGGTCAGAAATGCAAACATTGGTAATCATGGATTTCAGTGGTCCTGAACGAGTCATCCTTTCAAATTCATACGAATAAATCAGTCGGATTCGATGCTCACCGTATGTTCCTAGTCGCGTCTTGAATCGTGTGGGGAGCCGAGCTGTAAGTGGAAAAGAAATTTCTGTGAAATTGACTCATCCACAGTGAACAGGGCTCGCCGACGAGTCGGGTGAATCAGGCAAAGAGTTATAGGGAACAGCCCGTTGAAATCATATGCGAGTCATAGAGCTGGGGATATCATCATTAAGAGAATTCCACTGGAATTCTCATCAACTCGTGAACTTACTTCGACGCCGAACGAAAGAACGGGATGTGAGAGGCTCGGCACCCTCGATTCCGGGAGAACGCGATCCTGGATGAGAATAATTGACTTTGAACAAGAAGGGTGTCGACATCCGGCATCCGGGGCCTGGTGCGCGAAATTCGACAACTCAGGAGGACATTTGAACCAATCTCCATAATGCTGGTCAGCCTGGGGCGGTAATCTCTCTCATCATGTACTGACTACATGTTCACATGAGTGGTTCTCCAAGTACAATTACCTGGAAACGAAGGTGATTTTCTCCTAAATGGATCGCAATCGTCGCTACATTCGAATATGAAAACATAGTCGTGACCGTTCTCAGACCGCCTTAGTTCTAACTCAAATTGACACCCCCACAAACACTTGTTGTCGGACGTCGAATTGCATCATCATGTGTTCACGGGTCGTCTTCGGATAATCGAGACCAGCGGTATACACACCTTTGACATGAAGGAATTCCGCCACGAGCATTACACGTGAATCCATGTACCTGAGAGAACCGGGAAGTGAGAGGCGGATCGAATCCGGGATCGAGCAAGGCCTACGCTCTGAGGCTCTTCAGAAATACCACCATATTATCCACATCAAGTTTTCGTCGGACAGGGATAACTTGATAATCATCATTTATTCTTGCTTGAGGAGGTGATCAAACACGGAAACTCACAAATTCACAAATTCCTCCAGTGGTGAGGGGACGCTTTCCGATCCGCTGGTGAGGACGGAGCACATTTCGATCAGAAATTGAATCGAACCGAAGTTCGGATTTTGCGCGCTGGCGGTCTCCTGGAGAATATATACCCCGTGAATGTTTTCCTCTCGACTCTCAAGCGCCTGGCGGCAGCTTGTCAGCATAAAATATCGACGTTCTACACGAAAATTGTACTTCAGTCCGCCCGTCGGAATTTATCATCATAGGTATCATCGATCTCCCGTCTGGTGTTCGAAACATACCTTCAACAGGTGCCAGTTGTAGGTTGAGCCGAAGTAGCTCGGAAAATCGGACCTGGAAGGTGTGGAACGAAATCATGAGCAATCTACTCTACCAAGATCTTGCAAGGTAATAGGGGATAGTATCGTCAGATTGGTAGGATGGTGAGTAATGTCCACCATGATTTGGTTGTCGGCTGGGATCGGTTCATCCTGTGCGTCAGAGATCTTACTAATCATTCTACTCCAAGACTCACCTTTCGCGAAGAGCACCGGAGGAAGCTGACGAGCCCATGACTTGGAGTATCGTGACCTGCGGCGGGAAACGATGAGCTTTTGAAGATAGCATAGGCGCAGAACTCTCCATTCAGATTCTCTCTTCCGAGCAGAGATCCTCTCAGAATAGCGTATATATTTGTCACCAGAGACAGTTGACTTTGTTGCGTGTGCAACTGCCTTGTATGAGATATGCTATAATTTGTCATCATAACAGACTCAGATTTCAACCAGGTAAATGAATTGCCCGCGAAAATCGTGGTGGGATATCGGGAGAACTCACCTGTTCGAGGTGAATTCGGAAGTTCCGGCTGACTACGGCGGTTGATCGTGCGAGCCTGGGGATGACATTATTGCTTGATATATCGCCGAGTGCGGGTCGACTTCTAATTTTCATTGAGATACATCAGAACTAATATTCTCATTCACTTAATAGTCAGGAGAACGAAAGTTTAGTCAAGTACATCATGTGAGGTTTTTTTCTCATCCCTGCAACTCTTGCAAGCGAGTGAATAATTTCGTAATAATCATCTTGTCCCGCACCTTAGGTACAGAATGGAAGGAGGAAGCTTCTTCCGATCCGCGTTTTAGGTTGAATCATTTTCTCCCCGAAAAACGCCCCGCAAATATTCCATTCGTTTGCAAGGAGCTGGAGGGGATTCAAGGCTGCTCTCAGATGGAAATGAAAGTACTCACCCTCGTTCGGAATAAGCGTGAAATTCGAGGCCTGGGAGGTCCGAGTTCCGCATACACAAACACTCTGCAAGGTGGAATCGTTAGACGGATTCGAGAATGAGCCATAAGAGCTGAACAGATGTGCATCAGTCGATATGGTATAGTTCTCTTCAACGAGATCAGAAGCAGAACTGGGTTGAAATCATCATTCTAGACCGAAAGCGCTGGATCGAACACGACACTTACATTGATCTAGCCCGGAGTTGAGCGGCCCGGTTTTCCGAAACGAAGGATTCCCCGTGATGAGGCCTGAAGAAGTAGAGGATATACCACTTGATTGAGAGGAATTTTCGCGGAAGGCACCATACCTATACATCTCGATTATCATCAGGTGGTTTTGGTATGATTATCTTCAACGAGATCAGAAGCAGAACTGGGTTGATCATCACTGATATCGACTGATCGGATAGATTAAAGATTCGTTTCTGAGACTCACTTGGTTCCGCATGCAGGATGGACTGCTGACGTTCATCGCTGTTGAGTGACAGGAACTGGTTAGTTTACGCCGTTGGCAAGAGAGTTATCGATCTGGCATTGGAGATCAGTTTAAACCGATGAAATTGTAATCACAGGATTTCATACGAACGAGACATGAATATTCATCATAGTTATTCCCTTGAGAATTTCAAAGCTTTCAGTCGCACCATGATGTCGAGAACCCCACGTGAGACGCGTCGTGGGAAGGCCAGAGTTCTGCTCCCGCGGCTTCATGTAACCTCATGGTCATGTTTGCCCGTTTTTTGCCCAACCTATGCTCTCGGAATCGGGCATCCGGGACTGTATCGCTCAAACTGGGTGCAGAAACTCGCCGTCGATGGAGCAAACGAGCGAGGACGAGACGACTCTCGGATCGACTGGAAAGCACGGGATCTATCAGTGACACTCAAAATTTCGTAGATATTAGTGATGGTTGGTACCATTTTCAGCAACTATATATGTCATCATCGCTATCAGGCGAAAGATGGTGATAATAGGACTCATCATGAACAAAAACATAGTTTCAATTCAGATTCTGTGGCTGTGAACCTTAAGCTTAAGGCGGATTTTCCACCCAAGTGTCATCAGGGCAGCCGGGGATATGTTTTCCGGGACACTCTAGCACAAATGCACCCTATGGGGAATCACCAGTGACTCTGGCCCGTTCGATCATGGAGAAAGATCGTGTTTATGGTACCTACTTGCTTCGTGAGCACGAGGTTTCAGCTCGATCGGTTGGGGACAGTATAGGATCTGGAAGAATGATTGCCATGAGATTCTCTCCGCAAAAAGTAGGATATGGACCTCGGGTGCTTATTTTCAGTTGAAGCGCGGGTCGGTACGGTTCGTCACAGTGGGTCCGTTAATGGTAGATTTGAACCGATCATCATAGATACCGGAATAGCCCATCGGCTCCTCACCGCATACTCACCCAAGAGATCCATGTCTGCAGCAAAGTCCGCTCCTACGCTCGAATATGAGACAAGCTCCTCGAGCCCGATACTGGAAAGCAAGAGATGCGTGAGAACCTTGTGTCACTCAACCTCTGCGCACGAATTCGGACAAGAACTTTTCTAGGATCAGACAAATGCCTCAATAACATCATTATCAGGTTCTGAAGTTCACGATTTCAGCGAAAACCGCGTCCACCGCTAGCTCCGAACCCTCGTGACTCGTCATCGCGTCATCATAATAGCTATGGATGAAAAAACTCTGGCAGCAGCTCGAGCGTAATATTCAAGGAAACCTACGGTTTCACATGAAGGGTTCTCCAGGACTCCAGGGTGAAGGCGCAGGACAAGGATCTGCAGAGTAATCGCGAACTTCAGAAATCGAAATCCTCGTGTTTCGCGGACCAGACAACTTCAGAGACGGATCGCTTTCAGTCAATGCCAAAGAAATCTTCACGGAAAGGAAACCGGGGCGCAACCCAGAATCCTCGAGACTCGTCATCTAGTCATCATCTAAGCTCGGAAATGACTGCGTCTGGAGGCGAAGCCTTGTACGAACCTGTTCCGCCGGGGAATCCGAGCCCTGTATTTCCACGTATCATTCCCTTTCTTTCCCATTTCACTCAATCAGGTTGGATCCACAGCCTGCAGAACGAGAACGGGTGTGAAGATTTCTGTTTGGATCTAGCATTCATTCTCGTCGTATGAGGCATTGATATCAGCTAGGAGCGAAAGACATTTTACGACAATAATCATAGTTGTCATTATTGGGTCGTATCATCATTGATCGGAGATAAGAGAGCATATCTCGAGCGATGGAATCGAGTCGAGGGCTCAGTACAGATCCGCTGACGCTAACCTGACATGCCGGGCTGGACCACGTGGTGCGATCCGTGAGGGTAGCGCGTGAGTAGGCCTAAAATCGTAGCGAAGGGCATTCATTAGATTTCACGTTTCCCATAGTGCGGCCCCGATTTTACTCTAAACAGACTTCAGAGATCTTGGTTGGTAGTTACAGCAAATCACCACGGGATTCTGAACTGTTGATTTCATCATATACAGGACAACGGAGATGTCTCGACGCGACACCACGTGGTGCGGTCGGAAACATTTATAGCGGAATCAAATTCATCCGAACGGCAATCTGTCCATGCAAAGCAGCCATGACGTTGCATGAATCGAGTCGGTACTTTATTTGATTCACAGACCGATTCCCATCAGAGGAAAAGGTCCAAAAGTTCGTCTCCAAGTGTTGTGCATTCGGATGCTCGACCAAATCTGAGTCGAGATTCCGCATCTTAGCAATGAGACATCCTGTTCGGCTCGCTTGTCGGAGAACTTACCATCGGAAGCATTGATTTCGAGGTCATTCCGATTTCGACCCGATCAGCGAAATCTTTTGAAACGCTTCTGGAGCACACGCGATTTCGTCCAGCAGCGACCGTGACGACGCGCGTTGCCACCGTGAGACGAAAGGCTCGACGCGTGCGCCTCGGTTAACATATAACAGCGCGGCGCCCCGGATTGAGAAAGAATAGGGAAGAACCACGTGCGCTCCTCTCCAGCATCTGTGTCGGCTGCTGGATTCTTCTCATTTTGGCGCCTGTTTCGAAAAAAGGAATACTATGAGAGGTCACGTTCAGAGCTCAGATGGAGCTGGGGTGATTCGGAATACCGTTTCAGGCCCCATGCGGAGCCGCTAACCGACTCACGGCGAGGATGTTGCCGACAGAGTCGCCTGCGGGACCTCTGTTTCCCTCTTGGTGGAAACGAACGATTAAACAGTGAAAAAGCTAAGCGCTAGTGCGACCAATCACGGTCAAACTATCGAAAAAACCTCGCAGACATCGTGAGCCTTACGAGCTCCAGGGTCGGTCCGTGATCAAGAGCCTTATTAGGCTGAGACCATCTAATTATTTCCCGAGTGGAAGCTTAGGGTTCGAAAAGTCGAGCGGGTGCCACCGTTGCTCACTCAGCCCCCCGCGAATCCTCGGGAGGCCGGAAGATCCGATCGCGGTTATCAAAATCGAGAATCAGGGGGAATCGCTCGTGGGTTGGCTCTGAGCAGCGCCGAGCTTCGCCGGGCTTCGGATGAAGCCTTCACTTATCGAGGGGGAGCTCGATCATTGTAGAATCTGATCGTGCGGAACTGAGGCTAGATGGATAATTGAGAACCTGGTCCGCATCAGACTGGCGGGCTGGAAGAAAGCCCTTGTGAATGGTTGCGGTTCATAAGAAGTCGGTTCTATCGAGCATCCAGTCACGAAAAGCCTAATCGGTCGTGAATTCCTCATCTCCGACTGCTCTGAGGGAAGTCTGCCCAAGTTGAGGGCTTCGGGATTCGGGAAGAACATGCAAGATGGCGCGTCTTCCCAGATGAAAATCGAACCGCCGGAATCTTTGAGAGGAGTATGTTACCCATGGTTCCTCGTTTGGATTCCGCCCCGAATTCGGGGCTTGCGTTGGCTCAGGGCTGTAGCATCCCCTCAAGAATCAGATTCTGCAATTAGACCTCGAAATCAAATGAGTTTCGTACGCCCACGCCCCGAGAACCGCGGAGGAACCGCAGGTTTCCGTTCGCGTAGAATTCATTTTTGCGTTCTCGAGCCTATTGGCGGGAATTCGGTTGTTCCCGAAACCGAGGGTGAATGCGACGCCCGTCAGAATCGAACAGGATCGGACCATACAGTCTGTTGCTTCGTCAGCGACGTGGAAGTCGACTCTCCTTGCTGAACAATCATGCCCGAGAGCGATCCCGGATCATAGGATTGGTTCAGAATGGCCGAGTTCCGATAGAGAATTCAGAGTTGGAGGGGTTTTATGGGTAGAGATCTGCGACAAAAATGAGGATCGCCAGAATAGGCAGGCAGAAGCAGGGCGATCACGAAGTCTACGAACGATTCATCGAATACGTGGTGAGATGCTACGGGTCAAAAAAACTCGGATTCCCGGGCTGATGACCAAGTTTCAATCGAAGACGAAGAAGTGAGCGAAGACGTGCGTCGCCTCGCCGGTCCGCCGTTTCGAGCCCCGACGCGACATGGGCGGCACCGGCTCTGGGACAGAGATTATTGTGGATATGTGCAGCGTCGATGTCGACGCGATCACCGGTCACTAGAGCCCAGTCGAGTTCGTCCCTTCGCTTGTACGCGCTACGCGCTCTTCGAAGACAAGTCGTCAATGGATTCTCAGTTCTGAGCACCACTTGAAGAAGCAACCGTGCAGGCAGAACAGGCCCTGTTGACGGAGACGGCGCCGGCGCCACACTGCCGCATGGCATTCTGGGCGAACAGTAGTCATCTCGAGAATCCGATACCGAGCGACAGCTCGGCCTGAGAAGCGATGTTTGACGATGTCGTAAGGGCCGAGAAAGCATAGATATCTCGGGACTCTTGGCAGCCGCCTACGATTGCAGGATCATCGAAGAAGGCGTTTGAACGAATACAGCCTAATGAATCTTCTGTCTTCGATTGATAGACTCCGGAAACGAAGGCATCCCCCGTCTCCCACAAGGATGGACGGTTTTCCAGAGCTCAATTATTCCTTCCAGGATATCGTATCAGAATCCGATTCAGACCGGATCGGCCAGGCTTGAGGTTGCTCCGGGGGGGAGTGATATCCTTCATAGTTCCATGTTCCATCGGATATCATGAGACTTCGCGATGCCAAGTACAGGGAGCGCTCGTGGCTCGTGGCTAGGGGGCTGAAAGCTCTGAGTGAGTCATCTAGCTAATCGCCACCGCGGTAATTTCCGCCATGAGCGGAAACATTGATACCGGATTTCGCCAGGTTACCGAATAATGAACCTTGTGTGTATTGATGTCGACAGAAAATGATCTTATCGATGGTCTTGAAGATCAATGGGAATGAGGGATTCGGCGCATGGCTTGAGGTTGCGGCGTATCTTTCAGAAGCGTCCGCGGTTATCCACGCGGTCATCTTCCGTGACTGGTCGCTATGAGCAAGAGGATGGAATAGAGCGACGCTGCGATCCATCGGAGTCCGATGCTAGCGAGTCCACAAGCCCAAGCATCTGCGGTCAAAAATCGAGCTAACTCAGAGAGTTCGTCGAGTGGGACGGAGATGCTCGCATGCATCGAGTGCACTGCGATACCAATGATCGAAGGATGATGCTACAAGCCCGACCCCAAGCCTGCTCAGAACCCCGCGCGCGAGCTGCGCGGAAGAAGCTCATCTCATCGATCATGCCCATTGAACACGTTTTCTAGGAAGGAGCGACGATTCAGCGCTATCGCTCATCGAGACCGCATGTCTCGGCGGACAACATTTGTATTTGTATGTACTCCGAGCTCTCGCGGCGGAATCTCGTGGCGATTGAAGACAATAGACTACTGCACTGCGCAGTCCTAAACCTGTTTTCCGTCCGCCGCTATACCAAAGTCCCAAGATCATACCAAATGGTGTGCTGAGGGTCAGGGATACTTCTATCGGATCTCTCGAAATCTCGGACGCGAGTGCTCATGCACTCAAGGCGGACGAATGGAGAATCATTGCGGAGAGATTTGGAGAATTCGAAGCAGAAGAACAGCGATTCCCGCGCTGCTCAGAGTCGCTCCCGAGGAGTCTCCTTATCCAGTGTCATCTTTTCATTCTTCATTAACATTTCCCATCCCGACAGAACTCAAAAAGATCCCAATACTGCGGGATTTTGAGAAGGAGCCATCCCGTCACGGCTATCTGGCGCGGCTTCCACAGCAGAACCTTCACAGGGACCGGATAACTGTTTGTTTCTAGCATTCAGTCATCGTGTTGCTCTCCGGAGAACTCTCTCCCGCACTGGCTATCCTCCCGCGTGCGCAGAATTGTCTCCCCGATTCATTTTCGTTCTTTCTTTCCGATATTGTTGTTGGTTTATCTGGACTGCGATTAGGACTCTGACTATATCCGAGGAGTCGAGAGCGTCTTCCTCTGGGCCTGATGCTGTGCGCCGAAATCGTGAGGAATCGACCCGCGAAGTTCTTCGACCTGTGTCGTTTAGTTCCGCTGAGATCCTGGTGCACTTCGATTATGCCGGAACTTGCTGAGAAACGTGAAGCTGAGTCGGGGGTCGTGGAAGTTACAGAAAATCAGGCGAAGAAGCCGAAATTGGATGAGGTACGCTCAGGTTCAGGTGCTCACTTCTGTGAGCTCTTGTATCAGACGCTGATACAAGTCGTAGCAGTCGGTCAAATTGTATGCATCAAATATTTTAATGTGATCAGTGTCGCCTCAGAAAGACAGGACCTATCTCACCCAAGCGTCCGAAGCTATAGTAATGAATAATGCTCCCCAGGTGACAGCGGACGGTTCGGCGGAGACGAAAGCCACCGAACAGAAATGGAAGTTAAAGAAATTCGCAATGTGCCTTACTTATTGTGGTAAAGGCTATTTGGGACTTCAGAAGAATCCGGGTTTCAAGACGATAGAGGGAGATTTGCTCGAAGCATGCGTGAAAGCCGGCGTCATAACGCCGGAGAGCGCCGAATACCCACAGGGCATATCCTTCCAGAGGGCTGCAAGAACTGACAAAGGTTTGAGAAGATTCTCGAAACTACTTCGAATTCCGCGAATAATTTACGACCTGACAGAGCATCATATAATCCGCATCATTTCGTGCTTCCCGATACGCGCCCCGGCACGGATCCGAAGACGACGATTTCGACTGATTCCAGAAAGGGCTCGACAATCGAGATTTCATGCAGCTCCATTCCAGGTGTCTCTGCCGCCCGTCAAATTCTCTCGCTGAAGCTGCCTACCACGAAAGAGCCACCCGAAGAAATGGTCAGGAAGATCAATGAGCACCTGGTAGATCAGATTCGGGTCATAGGACTCAAACGCGTAACTAAGAACTTCAATTCGAAGAACAATGCCGACGCGAGAACGTACCTCTACATTTGCCCCACCTTTGCATTCACACCACACGATCAGGTTGTCAATGAGAGTTATCGGCTGCCATCCGAAAGAGTGGAAGAGATCAATCGGCTCTTGAAGGTTTGTCTCGTCGATCAGGGTTTGGTCGACGCCTACGAGGCCAAGCTACAGATATCGTCGCCAGGTCTCTGTAATAATCCCGAACTTTTTCGCTGCAGATGTACATCGGTTGCCATAATTTCCATAATTTCACGTCCGGCAAACTATACACAGAAGCTTCTGCTAAGAGAGTCTTGTTCGAAGTGGACTGCAGTTCGCCGTTCATGGTCGGCAAGCTTGAATACGTCCAGTTCCGTCTGAAGGGACAGAGCTTTATGCTTCACCAGATCAGGAAAATGGTCGGAACGATTATTGGCATCATGAGGGGATACACGACAGAGGCTTTCATCACGAGAGCCTTCGGCCCTGAGAAGGTGAGGGAAAGATTGTGGAGGTCGACCTCGGCTGATGCCGGACATTGCTCGCTTCCGCTTGCCGAACGGGAAAAATTCCCCTTTCAGTTGGACGTCCCGAAAGCCCCTCCCCTGGGCCTGATGCTGGATACTGTACACTATACGCGGTACGACGACCGCTATGGTGGCGACGGGTCTCACGAGACGATAACTTGGGAAGAATACCAGGATGTGGTTCATAACTTCAAGGTTAAGCACATCCTGCCGAATATATGGGATACTGAGGAAAATGGAGAGAGGTGGGTTTTTCCGTGGACTTCATGGGTGAATCCCGAGCAGATCTGGAGATTCGACGAGGGGAAGAAGCAGGGACTACTCGGGAGGGTCGATATGAACTTTCAAGATTGTCCTCGGAGGATGACGACGGAGAACTGTTTCGTTTCAGCATGATAGGGTGGCTCGCTGATCTCGATATTTGTACCTTCGACTTGGCCCGGGTTCACGAGTCAGTCCCGAAGACTGTCCAGGACGCACCGGAGGACGATGTCCACAGCGATGACGAATCAGATGTCGAAGGACATGCAGACACTGACGACAAGCTCCTCTGAATAATTGTCTATGTGAGACAGACTGTTGGTAGTTTTCCGGTAGGGGAATGGAGGCTCATTCTCGTTCTCTTATCGCGCATACTCGACCTTGGAGTCACTGGACCCATCCAGAGTAGGAGTGGCGGGAAAATTTTCCCTCTTCGCAACGAGACCGTGACAGACGACTCGGAATCTCGCGTCAATGATAATAAATGAGAGGATCGGAGATAGATTCTCCAGCATACCAGAGGAAAGTTCATAATTTCCACGGAAAGATTAACATCTGGCAAGCGACCACCAATGATCGCGATTCCAGTATCCGGTCGATCGTTCCACGTCAACCTAAGACGAGTGGGCCTCCTTCGAACGGAAGTCCCGTAGAACTCGCGTCCGATGAACTTTGGAGAGGAAATCGAGCCATCGCGCCGTGAGCGGATTTTTTGAGGATGTTCTGACTCTACCCAAGATGCGAAAAATAAAAATCTATGGAATCTTGTGGATGACCTAAAAATAGCATCCTCATATCGGTCTTCATCTAGGCCGATTCTGCTCCCACCGGGGTTTCATCATGAAGTTTCCGGATGGGCTCTGCGCCTAAACCGAGGGTTAGTCGAGAGCGTCGAGCCTTTCTTGCCTCCGCAGAATGAGCCGTAGCTTCAAGTCCGCAGCTTTCCGGACGCCAAGATGGCTCGACACAATGATGCCATGTGGTATGTTTCTCGGGTACAATAGGGAGAAGTTTCGAGGCAAACGATGCTCAGAGCGCCGAAAATCAACTCTGATTTCGTGACGCGGAACGACTCATCGTCCTACGCTGTAATAGGATACGAGAGGCCACTTGAACATCTCTGGATGTATCGAACACATCCGCAGCATTTTTTCCCTCGATTCCCGCGGAAATTTTTTTCCCTCGATTCTCCAGCCGGATCCTAGTCTAAAGTCACCGCTGAGGTCGATCCTGAAATTTCGCTCGACGGGAGGCCTGAACACTCATATATTATCCATCGAAACCAAGGGATGATGGACCCCTAAGGAGAATCAAATTCATCGTTCCCATCGGAAGCATCGCCTGCATGGGGGTGGGGAACTTCCTAATCCAGGAAAAGCGCATTCCCCTTCTATTGGAGATCTGGCATTGTTCAACGCTGCGTCGGTTTCTCGCCTCTAATGGTGATTTATCACGGGCTTTTAAGCCCCGCTTACCTCGGGACGCGTCCCGTGATCACTCGATTCTCTCGGAGACAGCACCGAACAGCTCATTCGGCGTCGCTAGGTTGCCGGGTAGACTATCGTGTTCCCTGAAGCAGACATCGAAACTTCGGGGCTTCAAGATGCCGCGGTCGCTTTTCCGAAGCGAACCGATGGAAAGATGTCAGTTGTTCCTTCAGAGCGAGGCCGCTTTTCAATGCATAGCGGAGCTCGGGGAACTCGGCAGAGTTCAGTTCGACGATTTGAATTCAGAAGTGAACGCGTTCCAGCGGAAGTTCGTGAACGATGTCCGTCGCTGTGAGGAAATGCAGAGGCTCCTGACCTACGTGGAGAAAGAGATCATCCGGGAAGATTTCGTCAAGCTTGAACCCGAAGATCCCAGCGTAGAAACTCCCTTACCGAAGGATATGATCGATATGGAGACGATGTTCCAGAAAATAGAGGAAGAACTCCGCCAGGTACTCTCTACCCTTCGCCGGAGGCGAATCAGCCTCGAACATCCAAGTTCCTCAATCCATTCGAGCTGTCACGAATGAGTTCTTCGCAGGTGAACGACAATGTCGACGAGATGACCCGGAATTACGTGCAGCTCGCTGAGCTCAAACATGTCCTCCGATCGGTCGACGAGTTCTTCGAGAGCCGACACGGTCAAGAAGAGGTCAGTCCGATTCCCCATCGTCAGAAAACAGCGGCGGAGCTCGGAATTGAGATGACGTCATCCCTCGATGATTTGGCGCTTTTCGTCCCTCGCGGCGCAGGTGCAAAGATATCTGACGATTAGTTTCTACATCTCAGGCTGCAGTCTTCCCGGGAGGCGTGCAAGAGATCGATCCATCGGGAGCGGGAGTTCCTCAAGAAGATCCGAAATCGGCGTCGGAGTCAGAAGCGGGGTCGTCGAAAGGGGAGGGATCGGAGAACGGCTCAGTCCTGAAGAAGGGTGCTCAAGCTGAGCAAGAAAATCTAGGGTGAGCTGATCGAATCCTTGGAAGCCGAAATAGTCTTTCCTGGAAAAAAGTTCTAGAGAATCCAGAATAATTCCCCTTGAATCTCTCATCAACTCATACCCCGAATTCTCCCACCTCATCGTCATATGAACTGATTCTCGATTATTCCGCGCAGATTCTTCGCTGGCACCATACCGGTCACTAGATTCCAAGCTTTTGAACGTCTCCTGTGGCGAGTAGGTCGAGGGATCATCTTCTGCCACCAGATTTTCATCGACGAGCCGATGACTGACGTCGATGGCAATTCCGTGCGCAAGTCGGTCTTCATCGTTTTCTTCCCCGGAGAGCAGCTGAAGCAGCGAGTGAGGAAGATCTGCGATGCCTTTCACGCGAACATTTACCCCTGTCCCGCATCGGCAGAGGGACGTCGCGAGGCCGCTATCGGGGTCCTGCAGAGAATCGAGGACATGAAACACGTATTCAACGGTTCCCGAGACCATCGCATGAAAGTTCTGGCGAACGCCGCGAGGAATATCCGCTCATGGAGGGTACAGCTGTCGAAAATGAAAGCCGTCTTCCATATAATGAACATGCTGAACGTCGACGTCACCCAGAAGTGTCTCATCGGGGAATGTTGGATCCCTGAACACGACATGGTGAAGGTTCAGGCGGCTCTCCGCAGAGGAACAGAGGCTGCGGGGAGCAGTTTCCCGTGCATCATCAATCGGATCGAGACCAGAGCCTGCCCCCCGACCTTCTATAAGACGAACAGATTCACCGACGGGTTCCAAGCAATCGTCAACGCGTACGGTGTCGGAAGCTACGGAGAACTTAACCCAGCCCCATACGCTATCATAACGTTCCCATTCCTGTTCGCCGTCATGTTCGGGGACGCCGGTCATGGCGTGATCATGGCTGCGGTTGCTCTGGCCCTGATCGCCTACGAGGGAAGTTTGAGCAAAAACCGTGACGAGATCGTTTCAACATTCTTCGGAGGTCGCTATCTCATCTTGCTGATGGGAATCTTCTCCATCTACACTGGACTGATCTACAACGACGTCTTCTCGAAGCCGATGAACATTTTCGGCTCGTCATGGACACTGAAATGGGATGGCGACGCCGTCCCTGTTTTCAACAAGAGCATTCAGGTTCCCATCGACCAACACACGAAAACCTACCCCTTCGGCGTGGATCCGATCTGGGCTCTAACGAAGAACAAGATCACGTTCACGAATTCCTACAAGATGAAAATGGCTGTCATTCTCGGACTACTCCAGATGTCGTTCGGTACGTTCTTGAGTCTGGCGAACGCCTTATACTTCAAAGATCGAACGAAACTGCCCCCGCCACGAAGCAACGGCGAACGTTTCCTTCGAAGAACCCTCAACGTCTGGGCTCAGTTCGTCCCGGAAATTTTGTTCCTGCTTTCTCTTTTCGGCTATCTGGTCTTCATGATCTTCTACAAGTGGTCTCTCCCATTCGGAAATCCCGATTACGCATCGGAGGACGAGACATTGCGAGGAGCCGGCTGCTCCCGCAGTTTATTGATGCTCTTCATAAACTTGTTCTTACCTCCCGCTCCGAACGCGCAGTGCTACGTCTCCAAACTCTACGCAGCAGCTCCATTCGTCGAGAAAATCATCTTGATCGTCGCTCTCCTCGCGGTGCCATGGCTGCTTCTGGCGAAGCCTCTGTATCTGATGTACTTGAACAAACTTCATTCGACTCCGCTGCCCCCCGATTTCGTACCGATTGTCGCGGAGGAGGAACGGAACGAAAACGCCGAGGACAGCGCGAGCTCGAGCTCGACTAGTAGCCGCCGCAAGAAGTCGACCGTGTCGATGCACACCCTGAAGGCCGGTAACGGCTTACACAACGTAGATCTGGACGAGCGCAGCGTTCAGGACGTCGATCCGGAGGAAGAACGTGAACCATTCGATCTCGGCGATGTGTTCATCCATCAGATCATTCACACCATCGAGTACTGTCTCGGTGCAGTTTCGAATACGGCTTCCTACTTGCGTCTCTGGGCTCTATCGCTCGCTCACGCGCAACTCTCTGAAGTACTTTGGTCCATGTTGTTCGCCTCGAGTCTCTTCGGAGATCCCGGAACCGGTGAGATAGTGAACACGATAATGAGCTCCGTCAAAATCTTCCTTTTCTGGTTCCCGTGGGCATTCTTGACCCTCGCGATCCTTTTAGTAATGGAGGGTCTCTCAGCTTTCCTTCATGCGCTTCGTCTTCACTGGGTTGAGTTCATGAACAAGTTCTTCAGCGGAGAAGGCTATCTCTTCACTCCGTTCGACTTCAGAGAAGTCACGTACACCTTGGACGAGTGAAAATCTCTGAGTGGAAATATCCTCGGACGCATAGAGAGATATCCGACCAGATTGAGGATTGACAAAGTATTCATAGCAAAATTATCGTCGCGTCTCATTTCTTCAATGATTATGATAACAAACTGCTATTCGTGATCAACTGATATGAGCTATACATTTGAGTTCTGGAATGTCGTTGGTCCTTATTCGAGTCTCAATAGGAAACCAGGACTGTCTCGTCTGGAGACGCCCCTTGCGATAGCCACGATCCTTGTTGACCCTGAGATACTCTGCTCCGATTCCAACATCTTCGGCGTCATTGAAGGCAAGATTGATCACTGAGAGCTCGAGTGAATTTCGAGTGTCGAGCCACGAGGCTTGGGGGGAGGGGAATGGCTTCGGTCGCGTCGACTCGCTCACGATGACAATATTCCTATTCCTGGCGTGCGATGCCGCGGTCGATAGGCACGGACGCGTGCTGATTGGTGGGACCGATGTCGAGGAAGAGAACTCGATATCGAGCGTTCCTGCCGCAAGCTTCGACGACCAGCTCTGGGAGCATTGCAAGCTAATCGCAGGCCCAAGGCCGCAGTTGCGAATGTCGGATTGAGAGTGTGAATGGCTCCGACGGATAGTCCATCTTTGGCTTGACAGCTCCCATGATGATCTCTTTCACCGGAGTTTAGAGTTTCAGAGAAGTTTAAAAGCGAAAAGGTGCTTCTCATCGGCAATACGATGGATAACTACATCTCAGAGAACGGATATCGGAGTCCTCGCTGAGATTCCGCAAGGCTTCTCGCTAAGGTCTCGCAAGACGTCTGTCTGATCAGCGAGGTCAAAATCGGTAGATGAACGAAGTCCTTCAGCGGTTAGGAGCCTCTGTGAAGCCGCGTTTCTCCTCAATCACGGTCCCTCGGAGGAAGCATATCCCGAACTGCAGATATATGCGCATGGATTCCTAAAGCTCTGAAATAGCTCGGCCGCCAGAAGCTCAGCGACATCCATTCATGTCATCATTGGCACACATGAAGGCATGCATGGGGGCTGAAAAGTGAACAGGTGATGCCCAAGCTCCGAGACTCCAGAAGCTTCGTCTCACAACAGATGTTCAGCTATAATCAATGAATCCATTCATCAACAAGATTGGAATTATCGGTGATTGAGACTACCGACGGCTGCGAGCAACTCGGGCTTTCGAAGGCCATCGTCTTCCGGGAGCCTATCGGCTGGTGAGCATTCAAATCCCAAAGGATCAGGGTGGCCGTGCTGTGACGCAAATGGTCCGGCGACCCGTAATTCAGGCTCCCCGAGGAATCTCTTGCCAATTTTCGCTACGGCCGAGCCGAACGTGCAGACTGTAGATTAGGATACAGCCAGTCGAGATAAATCCAGTCAGCCATAGTTTAAAAGAAGGGGCAAACTTCGATAAGCCTCATTCGGTCGAGTCAAGGCAACAATGAGGTTCGAGATGCTCCTGGCTGGTGTCGTTGCTCTATTCGCGCTCAGTGATGCCCAATCTTGCGGTAGACACGTGGACGATTACTTCGGGAACGACGCCTACATTATTGGTGGTGCGGACGTGAAATTCGCCGACTCGATCGTATCGTTCCAGGTATGGAGTCATCAGGGACCTGTTCCTCAGCAGTACATACAGCGCTTAGGCGAGAGCGAGCTCTGAAGCCATGAGATCTCTCCATAGGGACGAATGTCAGATTCGAATACCTACATAGATGTTCAAGGCTCTGGTCATCTTCTTCCAAATGGTTGCTGCTTCCCAGGTTTTCAAAAGCGACGAATGGTGGAACGATCACGAATGGAAACACGTCTGCGGTGGCACTCTCTTGAACAGCCGATGGGTCCTCACGGCAGCGCATTGTGTCAAGGAGTTCCGCGATTGGGGAACTGCGCGAGTTTCATTCGGGAGCTCGAGCCTGAGTGATTCCAAGTGGATCAAAGTCCGTCGCGCGATCGAGTATCCCGTTGCTGACAAAACACAGAAATATCAGGTAAGCTCCATGAGCATTTCTGGGGTGAAGCGTCCAGCTGAGCTCATATCAATATTTTCACTTTGGTGCCTACTCTCGGGGATCCGTCACGATGATTATTATCCAACCGTGGAGCGTGAACCCAGCTAATACGGGTGGAGTTCAGCTCCAGCTGAGATGTCAGAACATAGAAAAGTCCAGCGGTCGTCGCAGTGCAAGCCTGATTGCGTATTTCCGGGATATTTACCTGGCCGCGTTCAGACCGAGTTGCGAAAAAGTTCTCGCATTGCTCCATATCGGCTGCTTTTGGTGGTCCTTGAATTTGACTTTCCACCCTCCATCGCTTCGTATCGACCGAAACCAACGGAAGTGACTCTCTCGATGCTTTCGATTCCAGAACGACGTAGCCCTAATCGAACTACAGAAGGATATTCCATTCTCCGATGATCTTTCCCCGGCCTGCTTGAAGGGCCCGAGCACGAACATAATAGAGTATGAAACATGCGTTACCTTGGGATGGGGCAGAATCGAGGAATTCTCCGATCTATCGGATGATCTGAAAGTCGTCCACGTCAATATGATAAACCGGTGAGTTCTTAGCTTCTCCCTATTATTTTCGCGCCGTCGGGTAACTGCCTGTCCAGAATGTGCACCAACGACCAGCCTAGCAAGGGGTGCGACTCTTATTCGTTTTCATTGCAGCCAGCAATGCATGAGAGCTTTCAGAAACCTGAACGGTGTTCGAATAACCTCCAACCACATCTGTGCTGGACGCTTAGGCGAACGAGGAAGAGGCATTTGCCAGGGTGACTTGGGTGGACCTCTGTTCTGCAGGACTGATGACGGCATCAGATTGGTGGGAGTCGCAACCAACGGAGCCACGTGCGGCAGCCCTCAGCATCCAGGTGATTCCTCGCCCTACGACGAAAATGCTAATTATCCTATCGAATCGGCGATTGGGTGTCATCACATGCAGTGGCTCGCCGGTTGGAGCGAGCGGAATCGGGGGATCATTCCATCCAGAGCTTACGGGCTCCAAGTGCCTCTGCTCGGTCGATTGACGATGTCTCATCCCTCTAAAACCAGGTATCTACGTCAGTGTCGACTCCGCCTTCGACTGGATTCGACAAACGACTGGCGACTCTACAATCGGAAATCTCACGGAATCCTCGTCATACTCCACGAGTGGAAGCCATCAAAATACTGGAGTGCCTCAGTGAAGCAGTCGAGTCTGTTCGATTCTCTGTCAGAGAGTCTGTCAGCCGGAAACTTTTCTTTTCTGATCACCTTACAGAACAATATAATCGACAGGATGACCCTACCCCGCTTCTTTCCTTATTCTCTTACGCCCGGGGGGCGAATCGCGAGACGGTAGCGAGTCCTCCGTACAGCCCGCCTTTCTCGAGTCGCTTCCGGGGAACTCCTCGAACCAGAAAGTGAGCTGTCCTCGATTTCAGCGAATACCGAAACAATGTTAGAAGCTCGAAGGCCGGAGCCCAAGGAATCATATAAGGATTCTCGAGCTCAAGAATAGCGGGTCGAGGAAAAGCAAGCTGAGACCTTCGATGCCATGCTCGCAGATCAATCCCTCTCGGCAAAGGTGAGGCTTCCCAGGTTAGTTGCGGATCCATGGAGGGGACGCGGTCGGGGTACCCTCGAGACTTCCGACTTTCCATACTCCCCATGTTATAGCAGGACCCAGGTATCGATCCACTCCTCCCTCGATGCATCGACAGCCACCCCCCTTGGAGGACTCCAGGATCCGCTCCTGCCCATGGTAGACTAAATCGGGCACCTCACCGATTCAGCATACCATGGGAAGCCTCATCCATCTCTCATCGATTCGATGATAAGACATCAGAAGCCCGCTTCCCAAATGCCCGACTTCCAAATGGCTTCTCTCAGGGTTGCAGGGCTCAGATCGCCTCACAATGTCGTGATTTGTCAATCATCACTGAACCTAAGCTCTCACTAATCAGGCATCAGAGGGGATAGCCTTCACGGCTACTCGACGCACGTCGAGTCGGGTATGTCAGGAGCAGTTGAGCCGTCGTATGACATTAAGGGTAACCCCGGAGAACTCGGGAGGATGTCGGAGGATCGAAAATCATCCCCCTCCTGATTTCTTCGGAACGTCCTTGATCGTAACTCAGTCGTTACCTCCAATTGTGATCTGCTGCTCGAGGTCGATACCCCACCATGAGCCCTCCTCAGTCTTGGGTCATCCGCGCCTCAATGGAACTGTGGTTTCGAAATTTCGAATCTTCTGCGCCCAAGCATCTCATCGGGACCCCCCAGATGTGTCTCAAAAGAGCAAATCGATGACCTATTGCTTATATTCTCTGGAGAGGAACCTCAATTATCAGATTCGGATCGAAAGGAGTTCTCAACCCATCTCTGACAGCGATCTTCCTCACCCAATCATTCTCATTTCGAACTCAAGCTGCGACGGAAGGCTCGCGTAGGGCGACTCCTCATTCATCACGAGAGACTATGTGTACGCGAGATCAGGGTCTACCGAGGCACCGAGGGGACCCGACGTGCCATCTCATAATCCGCCCTCCGAATATCCGCCCCATGGCGTTGGATCAAATAAATCGATAAGGGAGAGGACTCAATGCCAGAGATTATTATAGGCTTCGCTTGAAAACGACGCAAGCCCACCCATGAAACATCCATCGGGAAATCGAAAGTTTAAGGGATCTCATGACTCATGAAACATCAATCGGGGACTCACAAGTCTGCAGGTCTGAAGGACCTCCGTAGGGATGTTTGCGCGAACGAAAAATTCCGCGGAAAAAGTTTTCTGGAGGCGCTCCATATGTAGGAGTAGCTGAGCCTTAGATAGAGTGACCTTCTCTAGGAGAGTCGCCGTGGGAAGATATTCACCGAGATACTGTGTGTACTTGGGCAGACGATTTTCGTTATTCACGAAAATATTCTCCCGCCCCTGGATTTGCGCAGTCGCTGTCTCATAGCCTGCTGCTCTCAATGCCTCGATCCAGTGCTTACGGCACACTTTGCTCTCAGGTGAGCTCTCCGGTTGACAGAATCTCTGGCGGGAGAGACGCCCTCCTTCGAAGACTCGACGATAGGAGAACGTGAATGGATACGTGGATGGATTCAAACTACCGCGAGGAAGCTTCTTCCCTCAAAACCCGAGACTTCGGGTTCGACGAAGCAGATCGTCCTCATGAGCCCTCGCACGAGCTCTCTATCCACAATCATCCCGCGGATGTCCTCGTATTTGAGCGGGCTCTCTTGGGAGAGAAATTTTCAAAACTCGTGTGTCATGAGCTTTAATTCTTATGGCGCCCGCGAACACTATATAGCACGCTAACAGCTCTGTCATAGCGTTAACTATAAAAAATACGTTATGTCGTAAACGAACTCTTCAGAGTTTTTCCCAGGTTTTTTACGGCCTCAGAAGGCTGCGACTCGCCCTCTTTGAAGCCGCCTGTCCGTCGTCGCTCTCGACTTGAATTATTGGAGGGTCGTGGGGGACTCTTTCCTCTGTTTTATGACGTGTGTGAGTCCAAAGAGGGGGCTCTGCGGGAAGTCCTCTCGTATCTCTCTCACGTAAGAACACATCGCAGGTTGTTCAGATTTCAAGACTTGGGAGTTTTGCAACTCTCTGTAATAAAGGGAGAATCTAGTGAAGCAGCAGTCGCGAAGACGAAACCGCGGGCTTCTGGGAAAAATACTGGAATGTACCCAGTAGGAATTACTCCTGCGACAGTGGACTGGCCCAGGTTCTGGAAGCCTCTGTGGATGCTTGAATATCTGGAAAGATAATCTCGACGTTTCTCGCGCTGTGGAAGTCTGGAAGGATGCGCTTGAAAAATGGGATTGATCGACCCTCCCCCTCACGAGACATTGTTGACGAACGGCTAGATCGGAGCCCGTGACCGCTACCTACTTGACAGCCCTCGTCAACTCATCAGATTCCATTCTTGCTGGATCAGTCAGGAGGGTGACATTTGTCTCCGAGCCGTCTCACTCGGATTTCGAGTACAATCCGATAATCGAAGCTTTCGAATGAGTCCAGAAGACGGGAGGGGCTTCTCTCCTCCTGTGGGAAGTTGAGAGGCATGTTCCCTGATTCTTATGCTTCATACTGTGTGTTTCGTCACATTCGTCTGTTACCCCCCTCAATCGGTTACATCCATTCTCCCCCTGCAAGGACAAGTAAGCTGAGCTTGTCGGGCGTGGTACTTCCGTGAATTTCACCGCTGAGGGTACACGAGGAAGAATAAAGAAGCTTCGCAGACATACGAAATGGCTATGCACCTGTGTTTACAAGTATAGCCGAGAAGCTCGATGAAAGTCACCGAGCGCGTCCTGCTCCCGGCGGTCACAGGGTCACAGACTGACTTTGCTCTGATTTTCCTCTCTCCGAAGTCCGATACACGAGGCCCCTCGCCATGCGAGGAAACGGAGACCGATCAGATCGGCCGGGACTTCCCGCGGGGAAGTGATCTTCTACTGGAACGGCGCATTGCGATCACGTTGCGAACCTTCTAGATTTATCGTACAGCTGAGAGTAAATCCGCTGGGAATCCGAGATCCGGAAGATGAAATCTTTCACTCAATCGCAGGGATGCAGGCGTCGCGACGGCTCGTCTGGTAGGATCCACATTCATCATCCTTTCACCGGCTGATTTGGATTGTGATAAGTTCATTTGTCGGAAGTTGGAAGCCTTCGATCCAAGCGAGGTCAGAACATCGAGGAACCAAGACTAGGCTAGCCCTGACTCAAGGGCGATTCCGGGACAGAGCGATTCCGGGACATCTCGTCGCGACCCTTTTGAGCGAGCACGGAAAAATAAGCAAAACTTTTTGAACAGGCTCCGGATCTGGGAGTCTCCTCTGGTCGCATCCCTCCGAGGGAGGTCTTCGGGTGAGAAACTTATACACAGAATCTCGGGGCCACAAATCTCTCTGCTCCTCGACTATTTGCTGATCATAGCGTGGAACCCAAGTTCGTGGAAACGGACTGGCCGTGAATATGTCGGAAGAGAAAACATATAATTGGAAAACGAAATGAGTGACAAGAACTCCTCAGAAATGCGTATCATCGAGATCGATTCAGCTGACTGAGTTGTCTCGTCGTCCTGCTCGACCGATGATGACCTGTCAAAGTTCGTCTGAACGACTTCGACTCGCGATCCGGAGTCTGATCCTGAGCTGGACGATTGAAGCGCTGATTGTGTTTTGTGTGGGGGCGACGTCTCATCCGCGTCAGCGATGCTCGAAGCCGGACAAAACTCGATCGATTTTTCTCCGGACACGTACACGATCCTCGCTGTACCATTGGATGAGATCTACGTTTTAGCCATTCGACGGGACCTGCCGGTACCATTCACCCCACGGTCGGGGAGTTCTTTTCTGCCATTGAAACCGCAGTTTCTGTAATCGCCTACCTCCAGCTAATTTGGCTAATGCTAAAATCTTCCTAGCCTTTGAAAAATGGCACTCATTTCTCCTGCGAAGGGTTGGGATGACCTCGAGTGGAGAACCCGGAAAGATTCGGATCTCGCAATCGTATGACTCCAGACTACCTTCTACCTCTACCTCTTCCACGGTGTATCCGCAAGTCGGTTGAGGGAAGACGCCCAATTATGCGGACGGACACTTCGACGCTCCGATCTCGCTCTCCGAAACAGTTCTCGCCTGCTCTTGCATGCGGAGTATTCGATTATTAAGCGATGCTCTGCGGGTGGAGAGAAATGTGGAAGTCCCTCGGCTGTTTGATGACGAAATCGAGGAGCTCAAGGGCGCCGTGCCGTCATGAGGATCTGCATGGCGAGCACTCGGCGAATGAGGTACCTATTTAGTTTGTTTTTCCGAGGGCGGAAGAGAATCTCACGGAGCGCATCCTCCTTAGCGAGGAGACGCCGCGAGAGAAAAGACCTTCATTCGTTTGCTGTTCTTAGCCCGACGGTCCGAGTTCGCCGTATCCTTCCTCATCACCTCCAGTCCGCTCCGCTGCATTACAGAGGACAGCCTCTGTAATTATTTCTCGGAGGTCCTCAAGAGGAACGGCAAGGACGACTAGCACGGTCGAGAACAGGATGTACACACGAGCAGAAAGAGTGACACGTGCTGACACAGTACTCGTCTCAGCGGCAGTATACGCTGGAGGCGAGCGAACACGGCGCCGGACCTGGGCGCGCAAGTGGAGTGATACACAGGAACAGCACCTAACAACAGCTGATTCGCTCTCTAGAAGAGGTCCTGACGGAAGAGAGCGCACCGTCCTGTTCAAAGGGGACAGGTTGTTGGCTACAGCAGAGGAGACTTGCGAAACATCTTCCCTGT